TTGATGCGTAGAGACTTGCGCCTCGGCAGGCCCTGTGGAATTGGCAGAGCCGCTTTGCTGCGACAGCATAGAGGTTCTGGCCTTGCACAGGTTTCTGACAGCGCTTTGTGTGGTTTCCGGGATCCATGCTCGAGACAAGACAACAGCTCAGCTCACCCCGAAGTGCTGTCAATCTCTCGCATCCTGTGGACACTTGAGAACTTGCAACCCTGAGCTGCAGCTCAATCTTACCGAAAATCTATTGCAATCAGGGTCATATTAGCCGCATCAGCTTGTAGAAAGACCTCCCCCTGTAAGGACCACTACTATCCCTTCAACCCCGAGGTCCCAAGTGTCTGTAACTGTCTCTGTATTTACTTAGTCTGTGTATATATATATATATATATAATTACACATACTTGTGTTTTATATCGATGAAGCTTCAAGGAAGGTCTACCTCAAGGAGCACTATGTGGCTATGGGTCTCCGATGTGGATTCCTGCGATGGCTGCTTGGTGAAAGAGACATCCAGGTTGCGCAGGCCGTGTGGCTACGAGGGCTTACTGTGTAGGTATGCAGGCAGTTGACAACCCTAAACCCCAAACCCTAAACCCTGAGTTGAGTTAGGATCTGCTCGTGTCTGCGACGCGATCGGGTCTTAAGGTCCAGGGTTGGCTGGAATGTGCCAAGTTTGTATTTGTTTGTCTCCATTCAGCTGCAGTGTCGGTGTGATGTGAAGACTACGCTGGTCAACGGCAGAACAGCATGCGGCATCCATGCTTTCCGACCCCGACCTTCTTCCTGTCCAGGCAACAAGGACCTCCCCGGCAACGACCCTTCAAACCCTTAAAGACCCTATGAAAGACACCCAAGAAACCCACCACAACCCTAAGCCTAAGCCCTAAACCCTAAACCGATAACATCCTCTTCGAGGCGAGAAACTCCCAAAGATTCCTGGCGCCGACAGCCGCTTGGAAAGCACGGCCACGGGATAGGGCAATTCAGGCTTTGAGATTGCAGTTGTCATGACTCGTTTTGGGCGGACCCAGGAGGGGCGGGGGCGGCGCTTTGCAGGTTGGGGAGTCGATTCAACCTTGTGGGTTTCAAGGTTGGTAGATGTAGGACTGCTGTTCCTCTTGCCTCTTGCGGATGTTTACGCAGTGGCAACACCTCAATCATCTGCCTAGTATAGGGCGGAGGAAGAGGCCGCTTGGACTTGAGTTTGAGGTTGCACGCGTTGCTTGATTTCGTCTGTTGGCTAAGGGCTCGGGGACGAGGGTTCAGGGAATAGTGGCTTAAAGATGTCGTTGCCTTGTTGTGATTCTGTGCTGGTCCCGGTGAGAATGTAACGACACAAGTTTGTGCAAGTTGGCTAGACAGATAGACAGATGCATTCAGATAGAAAGCTAGACATGTATACACGCCTCCGCATGCGCCTAAACCGTGCCTAAACCTAAACCCTAAGCAAGCAGCTTCTAGAGTCGAAGCCACCACCCTTCCGTCGGAATTGCCGCAGCAGCAGAGGAAATGCTTTGACCAGCGGTTGATTCTTGGTTTCCTGACTGCATCTAAAATGTTTATTAGGATTTAGTGCTCAGAAGGCCTAGTTCAGGGTTTTGGGGATGCCCTGCCTAAGCTTTCGCAACTTTTTTTGTTTGGTGGGGGGGGGGGGGGGACAACGGCATTCTGCTTTCCTATGTCCACAAGATCCGACCGGGCTCGTCTGATAGCTTTAATGCGTCGGGGCTTTTCTGCGAAGATGCCAAGCAAGAAGTAGCGTAGGTATTTTCTGAATGCCAAAGTCGCATAAGTACTGCTGATGAACACTCGTCGGCAACGACACCGACTGGCTGATCCCTGATTCTTTCACCCTGCTTCCCGGTTCCTCATCACGGTCGCAGAGCGTACCGCCAAGTCATGTCGCCCTGTCGCATGCCACTCCGAAGACAAGCAGAGCCAGTAGGCCGTGTGTGCAGGACTGCATCTCCACGTTTTCCAAACGTACGAATTCGGAAGTCTTCAATCTTGGTGGTTTCTTCATCCTGGCCACCGTTGCACGCAAAGATTATCATGATTGTGATCCAGGTTCATCATCCTATAGCCAGACTAGCAACATTGATATGGGCATTTCCACAAGTCCCGTAGTTATTATCTACATGTGGCAGCTGTTGTCAGGCTTGATGATGCCGTGAGGCAAAGCTGCTGGGATTGAATGGTAACTCGTCACGAACCGTACAGCTACTGTTCTTGGGCTTCACCGTTCAAGGATTGTTGTGTTTTATAAAACACTACAAGCCCCTGTGCCAACAAGCAGTAGTATAGCTCATGTAAGTTCAATAGTGGTTACGTAGCACACACGTATCTCGCTGCACGTACATACCCACTTGCAGAAGCCCAGACGATGCGTTTATACGTTATAGTTACACTGTTAAACAGGCCACTCATTACTAATGCTACTAATTACTCTAGAACTTCTATTCAATTCTATTCTAACACTCTTAACACCCCAGTCACTACCCATGCCTGCAAGATCTGCTAAAGGCAGTTTTTGTTGGTCTTTCCGAAACTTTTCCTCTGGCAGCAAATGCCAGCTATTCCGCTTCCTTCTGAGCTCTACACAATTTGTCCAAGCATCCCTTAGAATAGTTATGTGATCAACACAAGCATTGGCCCCAACAGGAAAGCTAGTCTAACACAGCCCAACAAACGCTTGTTTTGTTGTGGTTGAGTCCAGTATACCCGCACCTTCGGACCATCAAGCCATTGTAATCCTGCTTTCGTAAGGGTTTAGGCAAGGGTCTCTAGCAGTCGCCCATGAGCCAGGTCTTTACCGTCGAAGGCTTCAGAATGAAGGCTGTGCCACAGCCATGAGCAAGCGGAGGTTCTGAATGAGATGGGGCTTTCTTGAAATAATTTGAGGCAGGACCTTGAAGAGATCAACCAGCTACTGAAAATCTGAGGGACATCGTTTCCTTTCGAAGGAAGTACATAGGCCTCTGACCAGAATCACAGTCATTGCTCACAATGTAGCAAGTTTGCTTAAATGCTTTGCCAGTTGGGGCTGCGCCTTGTAATTCATGGCTTCTCATCCACTGTGCTGTGCGTAGGGTGTGGGGCTGCAGTCTGGTCTGTGACATGACCGACTTAAGGTTTACTCCGACTCTTTCGCTCTGCTTCCGGGAGAGTCAGATCCAGGGTTAGGACTTCCCCAGACTAACAACTGACGATGTTCGGGCGTACATGTTGGATGAGAAAGCATGTAATCTCAACGCCTTTAAGTTAAGGTCAAATCGAAAATCCTCAACCGCTTTCGCCCAAAGACTCTAAACCTTACTACAGTCATGAACCCCAGACCCTCAGACTGCAGCCCCAAACCTTAAACCGCTGTAGACCCTGAGCCCGATACCTTGAAATTAAACCAAACCCCCCACATGGCCAACACCCAGTTCGAAAGCCTCAGTCAGACCTCCGACGCACAAGTTTTAGAGCGAACTGTCGTAGGCCAGGGAAGCGCAGAGAGGTTTCTCCTCTCTACTCCCTGGAGAGTAGATAGAGGCCGTTCTCCAGGCTTGGAAACGATCTAGGAGCTCGAGAGACTGAACAGACAAGTTTGAGATGAAGAGTCGTGCCCATTCATCGCTTCCGTAGCCTGCATTCGTTCCGCATGTAAACTCTGCATGCAGATCTCAGACGCCTTAGGTCACGAAGAATAGTCCAGTTCAAGTGGAGAGCGGCTGTGAGGATGTTTTTTTCTTGCCTCTTGTCCCTCCGCTTGGGGGTCGGGATGATTTGCTGAGCCTGGGGGCTCTCAGCGATTCGCAAGGCTTCCTCCACGACCTCCGAGGCAAAGTGTATGCATGCGTGCAGTAGAACGTCCCACATCACCCCATTCCGTAGGACTGTACGTAGGTCTGAGTTGAATCTGGTATGCTCATGCCGCGTGGTTGAGGGGATGTGGAGGAGACCTGGCCCTAAGGGTCCATGTACCTAAATAGTATATACATTGGCCTTAACGTATTCCCTATATAGGTACATTGGGGCCAAAGTATATACTATTTGGATACATGGAACCTTAGGGTGGATGATGTTTGAGCAGCGTTTCTTCTTGGACTTCCTGCTTCTTGGATATATCCAACGGTTGGCCAGGACAGTCGAGTCTCGTGATCTTTGATGCTTATTTGGGAGTTTCCGAAAACAGGGGGCCCTAACATATTACCTAAATAGTAGGATCCTTATTGTAAGGACCCAAAAGGAGCCACCCATTTAGATGGCAGCTCAAGCCTTTCAAGCGGGGGTGTAAAGCATTGCGATGCTGTCTATCAACCTGGGCAGGACGTGGGTGCAAAACACGAGCACTCAACTCGTGTGAGTGTATAGTTGTGTAGGGGATCGTGTGATACCACAGGTGTATCCACCGCGCTTTTGCAAATGCGCAGCAGGTGGAGCTTGAGACAATCATGCACATGCAGATGCTCTCGACGATGTTGTTAGCCTAGTCATACTGGAGGTCGGAGTCCAAAATGCCGAACATGAGCTCGTCCAAGAGTCTGCATGCATCGGAAAGCTCATTTCGGTCGGGGTATCAACGCTGAAAAAGCTGTCCACTGCTGTGAAGGATTGCGCACTTGCTTCTGAAGATCATGGCAAGCCTGACCTAGGACCTATAGCATCTGCATCACGATCATCGTCAGCATCGTCAGAACGCGCTAATAAACACATCAGACAAAGGACCTAGCACAGCGCAGTGCAGGATGATAATACGTAGTCAATCTCAGCCTTGTTTCTGAGCCCATTGTGGTGCTGTCTAGCATATCCCGAGCACGAGAAGGGTCGACGGAATTTGGCCCTGCAGCAAGCAAAGATCGATTTCGTGGTGTCATGTGCTGGAGGCAGTCAATCGTTTTTCAAAACGAGTTTGCGGATCTGGCGTGCGGTTTCACATTGGCTCAACAGCCTGTCTTGACAATTCCCGAGCTTTGCAATACGGGTCTGCGTGAGGTCTGAGCCCACGTGATTAGAAGATGTATCCCATATGCTTCGCAATGGGCTGCCGCAGTCGCAGCTGGTTTCAGATATGCAGCCGCTGCGGATCCATAGCATGGTCCTCAGGAAGTGAACGAGAGAGCTTGCATCGAATGCCTCAATCCTGAGACTTGTGCCTTGCTCAGGTCGGTGCATGCAATATTCACCGTCTCAACTGCGAGTGCGGGGGCGACCTGTTCCAGGCAAGGAATCGTGGCGGCACATGTCCAAATCGGTGACCAAACCTCGAGACTTTTCGTTCTCGCATCATCCAATCGTACACGAAGACGATATAATCTCCAAAACATGAGCTCGCGCGACGCCCAACTTTTGTAAGCCTGAAGGTTTAGGGTATAGTTATAAGGGTGTTATCTAGCCCGGCAATCTGCTGAACCAAACAGGAGGAGATGGTCGACCGAAGCGACCCAGATGTCAACGATTCCCTCGTTCAAGGGCTGCGGCTGCTGCTGCAGCGTCCCGGAGCGCGCGTGGCAGCCTGAATGTACGTGTGCGGGGAGTTGGAGCCACGAGTCGGTAGTCTGATTTTGTGATTGGTGTCGGCGGTCGGTTACAGGCGCCGACACTATTCTATTCTACAATTATACAGGTCGCCGCATCCATCCAAGGTGGACCACGGCTATGCAGCTCGGGTTCACGGTGCAGAGGACTGCCACTGCCAGAATGGTTTGGATCGTGCAAGATTGATCAGTTCATGGCTAACGGCGTCTGGGTGGGTCACGCATGTACAAGCCAGCTCGGTTACCGTCATCGTGAGAGGAGCGGCGAGCGCTACAGCAGCTGGAAGCTGCCATGAGACGTGCGGTTGAGGACCCGACTTGGGCCGAGGATGTGTGGTTGGATCAAGATTAGCGGCTGCATGGCTGTCACTGTTACGACCTTAGGATGGTTTTTCGTGCATGTAGTGTTGTGGGAGTGAAAGGGCTTGCGAATGTGGGCGTAGGGGTTGCGAAATTCGGAGGCACTGGTACTTGAGAATTCATGCGTTTCTTTGGGCCACGGGACCGGAGCTCACCAGTTCTAGAGTGTGGTTCCGAACGATGGGGTCCAGCTTTTGCGAGCCACTCTGGACTTGGCGCCCCGCAATTTTTCTGACTTGAGAGGATGGGCCCGAGAGCGAGAACGAGACAGAGGACTGACAGCGTGGTTGTTGCATTTGGGTAGATGAGTTCATGGTTACTTGGAGGACCAAATGCCGTGCACACTGTATTGGCATTATAACCTTCCCGCCTTTAGGTTTCGTGTTGGCATGTCCATGTTGGGATTTGGAGTGTTCTCTATGGTAGAACGATAAGAAGAAAATATACGACAACAAAACGATAGCATTAGTTTCATGGAAATATGAGGTATGATTCAGAAAGAACACTTGAGTTGTTCCTCAGGAACACACTGTAGGGACTGTAGGATTGTGTGTGTGTGTGTGTGTTTGTTTCCTGTGAGCTTGATGGGATCGGGGTTTGGAAGCTGGAAGCCGTTTTGAAGGTTAGCAGAGCCATGGAGCATTGTGAGCTGTTGGGGCACGAACTCGAAGCACTTTCTGTTGAGACTGTTTGAATTTAATGCAAGCCGAATTGTGAGTTCCAAGCGACGGGGCCCAGCATTTGTGAGCCAGCTCATGCAGCAGGACGAGACCGAGACCGAGCCCGCGACCCAGGACCGGGAGCGGGTTGCATCAAGAACGATTATTAGATGTGACATGGTGGATTGCTACAGAACGTCTGGATTCTTTGGTATTGTTTTTTGCAATGCTCGATGTTGGTGGGGGGGACTAAAGAGGTCTCCTGATTAGTCACCCCCCCTCCCCCTCGAACGACTTCAATCCGCAATAATGGCTGTGCGTTCTGGCGCCCAGAATCATCTTTGGGCCAAAGTTGTTTGGGGGGCGGGGTCTAAGTCGCTTGGGGAGTCTCTTCAGGGCCTCTTCTCAGGGATTCCGTAAACCCTAAACCCTACCTCAAGTCTGGCTGGCGGCTATTTCTCTTCGCTGTGTCTCCTTGAGCTCCCACAAGCTTAGAAAAATAAAAGTGGGATCATAATTTAGCACTATTGAGGGGTACTTTATTATTCTGCGCAGGCCGAGTTTAGATTTATTGGAGGGGACGTTAAGGAGGGTGTGACTGGAGTTGTAAGGGATCCAACGTTCGGAAGCCGTTTTCAAGGACGGCAAAGGGTGCTGTTTTGTGTTGTTTGGGGTCATGAGTTGCAAGCTCAACCTTACAGGTTGACGGATTTTTGAAGAATGGCATGCAATCCCGGCGCATCAAAACATGTGGGTTGCAAACGACGTGGTCCAGCGTTTGTCAACCACCCAAGCTTCTACGTTCCTCCAGATACGAGCCTGAGAGGACGAGACCGAGACCCAGGACTGGGAATGCCGTTGCATCAAGCACGATCATTAGATGTTACGGACCCCCAAAGTATGTAGAATAATAGCCTTTTTTATGGGTATTGGGCCATTATTTTACCTACTTTGGGGAGTTTAGGTAGATGTTACGGACCCCCGGATTCTTTAGGACTGTGTTTTTTTGGTTCGTGCTCGGTGTTGGGCGAGATCGCCTGTGGGGACTAAGGAGGCTGTGGCTCGGAAGCCGCTTGGAAGGATGGCAAAGGGGTGCAGCTTTGTTGTGTGCGGGTCATGAGTTGCAAGCTCAAGAATTTTTTGAAGACCGGCTCGGCATGCAATCCCTACGAATCAAGAAATCTGGGTTCCAAACGACGTGGTTCTGCCGTTGTGAGCCTTCCCGGGTTCCGCGTTCCTCCAGCCATGAACCTGAGAGGACGAGACCGAGACCGAGTACGAGGACTGAGAGTGTGTTTGCATCCGAAACGATGTTTGCATGGCTCATTGCTACAGAAGGATTCCTGGATTCCTTAGGATTGTATTTTCCTGTATGTGCCCGGTGTGGGCGAGATCACTTGTGGGGACTAAAGAGGCCGTGACTGGAGTTGTAAGGGGTCCAAGGTTCGGAAGCAGTTTTGAAGCAGGGGAAAAGCTTGTGTTTTCAGCCATGTCTTTGAAGAATGGTATGCAATCCCGACGAATCAAAACATGTGGATTCCAAGCAAGTGGCTGAGCGTTTGGTGCCACCCGGGCTCCGCGTTCCTCCAGCCATGAACCTGAGAGGCGGCGACCGAGACCGAGACCGAGTTCGTGACCCAGGACTGAGAGCGTGCTTGCACCCAGATGATGGCATGGTTCACAAGTTACTCATCAGGATCCTCGGAAGCGCAGGATTGCGTTTTCCTGTATGTGCCCGTTGTTGGGAGAGATCGCTTCTGGGGACTAAGGACGCTGTGACTGGAGTTGTAAGGGGTCCAAGGTTCAGAAGCCGTTTTGAAGGAGATCACAGGGGTTCAGCTTCGTGGTTTCAGGTCATGGGTTGCAAGCTCAACCTTTAATGCTGCAGGCTTGTGGAAGAATGGCATGCAATCCCGACGAATCAAGACATGTTGGTTCCAAACTTCGTGGTCCGACCTTTGCGAGCCTGAGAGGACGAGAGCGAGACCGAGTTCACGAACCAGGACTCAGAGTGTGGTTGCATCCCAGACGATGATTGCATAGCTCCATGCTAGAGCAAGATCCTTTGACTCTTTAATATGCGGTTGTGTATTGAGCGAGCGAGCTTGGCTACGATTGGTGTTGTAAGGGGACCAAGGTTCGGAAGTTGTTTCTGACGGGTAGCATATGGGTACAGCTTCGTTGTCTTTTGGTCATGAGTCGCAAGCTCAATCATAAATGTTGAAAGATGTTGAAGGCCTTGTGAAGAACGGCATGCAATCCCGACGAATCAAGAAATTTCCAAACGACGTGGTCCAGCCTTTGTGGACCGCCCCGGGCTCCGCATTCCTCCAGCCATGAACCTGAGAGGACGAGACCGAGACCGAGTTCGTGATCCAGGACTGAGGTGTGGTTGCATCATGAAAGATGAGTTGCTGGTTAAGTGTGACAGAAGGATCCATGTTTTTTTGTATTTTGTTTTCGTGTATGCTCCCGGTGTTGGGCGAGAAGGTTTCTGTTGTGGGTGGTAAGGGGCTGTGATTGGAGTGTTAAAGGGATCCAAAGTTCGGAGGCCGTCTTCAAAGCGGTAAGCTTCCCAGTGTTTTTGGACATAAGCCAAGGTCATGATAAGGTTGAATCCACGGAGACGTCGAAACGCTCATGAGTTCCCCATTGGAATTGAACCACCCCAACACCCTGAGTAACACGATTCAATTCAAGTCACGCTGGCCCGACATAGGCATTGTGTGCAAGAATGGCAGTCTTGTATTTGTGCTTTGCTTACAAAACCGACGGGTTAACTGGAAGGAGATGAATCTCCTGCCGTTTTTCAACATGTGCCAGGTCGAGCATTCTGCTGGAGCTGATGCGGCACTCGCGAGCACAGCGTGCAGAAAAAAACGGACAGATGTTCCCGATGGTGCACATGTGCCACCTGCGTTCCCAAGGGCATGAATCTCGTATGAAGTCCAAGGGCTGGAATGTGACAGCTCGGCCGCAAACTCTAAAATCCCCAAGTTTGCAGTACTGACAGCGAACCCTAAGTCTACATTTCCATACATAGTTTATTCATGGCGCGATACACTTCAAACCCAAACCCCGGACTGTGAATTGGCTTCCTGACGTCTTTTATCCTTGCAGCAGCCTGAGCATTCGAGCGTTCCGTGGTTCTGCTACTGAGGTCGCTTGATGAGTCGAACGATCGGGCCGGGATGCTTTCGGACGGCGTAAAGGAGCAGCAGTTTCATGTGCTGCTGACAGCGATAAGGTGCAGTAAGGAGGACGATGTTGATGATGTTGGTAGATTTCAAACTCTCCATCATGACCAAGACATCGACGTTGACTAGGAGACTGTTCATTTCTATGTTGGCCAACATGCAGATGAAGATGAACTTGCTGGGCTCTCGCATCACTGATAATGGTGCCGACCACGCTGAGGTATATGTATATGTACATGTATATGTACACACATACTTCTCCCTGTGGGTGTTCATAAGGTCCAGGTGGATGTGAGGGAAGGACGTATGTATAAAAGGGATTCTCGAAGTTGTTTTTCCCAGTTATATTGGCAGAGTAGTTCGGGCTATGCGATGTTGCGCTCATGTTGTCGATATAATTGTAATTTTCATGATGTTGCAGCTTGTAATGTTCATGATGTTGCAGTTGGTTTCTGTAGTGATGGTTGTATGTTGCAGATGCTCTCCATCGAAAGATGACGATTGAGATGATAATCACAATGGCGGTGTTGGGGAATATTCACAAAAGAGTTAAGATGATTAGACGATTTGGGACATAGATTTGTGCGTGCCATGTGCAGGTCTGCCCACGACGTGTTGGGTTTTAGCCGTGCAGCAACGTTTGATCTATTTGTTTTGAATTGGCTCTGCGTGCAGGTTTCGCTGCGGTACGAAATCGGAAGATCAGGGCTTACGGCTCAGGTGTATTTGCAGCGTTCATTGCTGCTTAACATTGGAAGTCAGAGCCAGCAGCCCACGTTGTGGGTCGGGAAATATGTTCTCGGCATTACAAAAATGCACCTCCGTCATAGTTTGTCTCGCAGGAGATTGGCAAGCTCGTGGGCCACGCTCTGAGAGCATACGATTTGATCTGTTGGGCACAAGTCGCACGGGTAGGACACTGGAGACGCACAACAAGATCAGTGGCTAACTGATTTCGTGAGAAGGAATTGTGGGCTTAGAGCCTAGGTTGTTCACGATTTCGGGTCTATGGTTTGAGTTGGTTCAAGGGCGGCTAGGGTTTGTCTTCCATGGTGAGAGGTTGAAAGAGGAGTTCACGTGTGTGGGCCTTTCTGCGATTTGCTCAGCACCGGAAATCTCGCCAGCATAGAGCCAGTCGCACGCCGCCATCTCCAAAAGGCGCCCAAAGCCCTGGGACCAAAGACACACATGCAGTTGCCGAGTATTTAGAGTAGCATTCTGTCAGCACTTTGAGCTCTATAGTCGGGTGTTTCAGTATGCCGGAAACCCGGTCGCCCCGGCCATTTGTAGTAGCAGGATATGGAGGCAAGACTGGCTTTGGGCGTTTGTTTAAGATTTGCTGGTATAACTCATGCTTTGATCCCTCCTCAGGGGCTTCGTCGAGTTCTGGGGAATTGGGGTTAGAGCTTCTGGCCGTAGGCGAGGTGACCACTTAGAGCTGAGAGCGCATCCCAACCCTAAAGTCTTTCCTTGATTTCTCCGGCAATGCTACCCGAGGCGTTGGTGGCCTCGGTGGTCTTATGCAATTCTTCATGTCGGAGGAGGCGGGCACTTCAAGGGCCGAAGAGGGCTCAAGATTCCAAAATCGGACACGCGGCAAGGAACCATCAGCCAGTTGAGACATAAGCAACACAAAGAATCATAGAAAGTGCACCATGGAAAGAAAAATGACGCTTGCATCGAGGAAAAGGGCAAACAAGCAGAAGCCAACCAGGAGAACGTTGTGCACAACTGGAGGATTGGGTTGTTCTCATTCTCAATGTAACATTGCGGGCAGCGGTTTTTCTTTCATTCGGGACACCAAGGAAGCGATTTGTCGAAATGTGATGGCTTAAGCAGAATGCCAGAGGGCAGCAATCGCAAGCAAGGGACCTTGAAAACAAAGCGGCAGAGGGGGCAAGAGACTTTGGATCACTACTTACCATTACCAGTAGCATATGTTATTTCCTTGTGTTGCTAATACACCTGCAACGACCCAATCGGTTCTTTGCGCTCGTCTTAGCTTAGTCGGTTTCACTTAAGCAGTATACTTCTACTGGATTTCCGGGTTCCGGGAGTCCACGGTCTATCAGAAGCCCCATGTGCGAAGGCTATCATCCAAGAGACCAAGGACAAGGCGCGGTGGCGGCAACGCTATCGGGGGTAGGGACGTTGATGTATCTGCTGCCGTCAAGGGTAGGAAACTATAGGGAGTTGGGTTTAAGCTTATCTTGGGCTTCAGCCCACCGCTCCACTCGCCAGACGTTGTGGCCCAGAGTTTCGGGTTCAAGGGTTTTGGGGCAAGAAGGACGCCAGGACGAGGCGAAGCAGCTGCGTTGTCTCCAAAGAGCCGCCTATTCTGAATTGCCGGCTCCGTTGCGAAGTGGTAGGAAACTAGGTCTGCGTAATGACGAAGACTCCGGGATCTAGGGTTGAAGGCTCGCAGGCGCCTCCCATGCGTGTGGTCCCTCGTGCCTATAGGGGCCTACGGCTTTAGATATGGCGAGGCCTGCAATAGGATGCGCACCACCCCGCCTCAAGCGGCAGAAATCCTGACGGGTGGCCGTCGCAAATTGCGTTCACCTGCAGTATCCCGCAACATAATTGCTAAGTCGTCCCATTCTGTTTCAAGGTCCAACTGTGTGCGTTGTGTCAAAAGCTTGTAATCCTAGACCTGAAACTCGAAAGACCCCAGCATTCCAAGCCCTATAGAGCCTGAAAGCACCAAGCACTCCAAGCCACACATGCGATTTATCCCGAAAGTCCTGAAAACCGAAAGGTCGCGGCGAAGACAAAGTCCTCGCGATGAGAGTGACCCCCCTGATCTCTGCTATCGCTCTCAGGGCTTTATGCGGCCGTGTTCCCTTTAAAGGGTTCTACTATAAGTTTATGAGGTTCAAAATGGGGTTCCCTGGAAGGGGTACTATAAGGTTCCATAGTAGCGTTCCTTTTTAAGCGTTTGAGTTGTAAAGCGTGTGGGGCTTTGTGGGGGGAAGGGATGTCTGTGGGTTTCAACGCCTTTAGAGGGCGTCCGGGTTTCAAGGTGTAAAGTTCCAAGCTGATGCATCTTCGGGGTTTAGAGCCCAGAGTACTTCGCATTGTTTCATTTGGGAAATATCCGTTTTCATTCAAGCACCTTTAAGCGCGTCGTAGCTTGAAGACATTTGGGGGCTGCCGCAAGAAGACCCGCTTCAGAGGGCTAGCTTGTTCAGAGCTGTCCTTTTAATAGTTTGGCAACTACCACTCGAGCGCCACGAAAGTCTGCAGAAGGTGACGCTATCCCCGAACAGGAAGCACTTTGAGTCCAAAGCACTCTTGCGTCAGTCCTTTGCAGTGATCTCGACCTGGCGATTCCGAAAGATAAGATGCAGCATCCGCGGTCCAGATATTCACTTCACGACGTTCTCAGAGGCCCTAAGGCCGCATGTGCACAAACAGTACCAACCATGGAGCCAAAGAAAATCGCAAGTAGGTTAACAGGTAGTTAGAAGATCCCCGCTGTCGGCTGCCTATAAGCACATCCAATACTATTCTTCAGGGTTTCTGAAAGTGTACAGTATATATACATATATGTATACACACACATATACATGTATGTATGTATATGTATGTATGTATGCATTTATATGTATACTATAACAATATAACCTCCCCAAACCCAATTGTAAGGAGTAAGGTCTTTGTAGTACGTTGTAAGCACTCCTCTTGGGTCATCGCTTTTCTGTAAAGAGTTCTCTCCAGATTTGTGCAGCGATCCTCTAAGGACGAATCCGTACAACTGCCTCAGGGTCCAGCTACCCACGAAAGGGTTTACAGTAGGGTTTCAGGGTTTAGGGTGCATACATAGCTTAATCGGATCAGTTGTTGTCTCCGGTTTGCGTAGGCAACTGGAGCCCGAGGGGATGCTAGCACCGTGAATTACTATTATTACTATTACTATTATTTCTTCCCTGAACTTCCGCCAAAGTCTCCTATCTGGCTGTAAACTGACTGCACTGGGATCTTCACAAGAGTACCGGACTCTTAGACATAAGGACCTCAACCCTAAACCAAAAGCCCGAAAGGTTGCGATCCTTATTATAGCAGCTCCTCCATCTGGACCCTCGATGTATTTGCCTTCTTCTGCTTTTGCCCTGATGGGCGGGAAGAGGAGCGATCGATTCCTAGCACGGACTCTGCTAAACCTGCGGCTGTGGCACACTGACGTGTTGATCGTGGTCAGAAGTGGGGGGCTGCACTAGATTTCCCCCCCCACTCTGAAGCATGCTAAGGTGGGAGAGAAGGAAGAACAGCATCGCGGCCCCTGACCCTCAGCCGTTTCTGCACCCTTTTACAACCTGAAACCGCTTGAGTGCACTGCCGTTTGCAACCAGCCGCAGATCCAGAGACAGCAGACACGAGGGTCTCTCAAGAAACTTCGCCTCTGGTGGTTAGGAACTTGAAGGTCAGACTTTAATGTCTATGAGGTTTCAAGCTGAGGGCCGTAGAGTGTAGGGGCATAAGTATAGGGATCGGGTGTAAGTAGGGATCGGGTGAGTATTGGTTTCTAAACCCATGCTCGGGAGTTCGAGGCCTCACCGTAAGCCTTATCAACCTTAAGTAACATCCACCGTGAGACCTGTCATTGTTGAGACTAAGTGTTCTTGGTCAAGGCTACCGAGTATACCTGGAGATGCTGAGCGCATGTAGCTTCCTTTTACAGGTACCTCGAACCCGAGCCTGTCCTCCCTAAGTCCTTAAACCCTAAACCCTGAACCCCACCTGACCTGGACCCCAAAAGTAGGTAGAATAATAGCCTTTTATGGTTATTGGGCCATTATTTTAGTTATTACTTTGGGAGGTTTAGGCACTTCTTAGGCTCTATAAGCCGCTGCTGTGGGTCATAAATACGCGAAGCTTTGGTAGAATCCGGGGGTCCCTTGTTGCTTCAGCCTTCCGGTTTCGGAGATCGGAGCTGAAGGGACCCAGAGGTTCGTTTTTTAGGAGGGTTTGGGGTTCAGGGTTTAGGATTGAGTGTTGTCTACAGTGTAGAATTTTCTGCATATATGATCTGGACTTGAGAGTTTAGGATTTAGTGGTTGGGGGTTTAGGTTGCAGGAGGCAGCGTGCTGAAATAACAGGATCGGTGATTCGGAATCATGCTGGACGATGGCTTTGGGTCCTGGCGCAGACCAGAATCCATGCCTTCACAAGATGAATTGTCACAGTTCGGGTGCAACGGATAGCTGCTGATGTTGATTTTCTTTGAGGACCCTCCCAACTACCCCTAGTGCAGAAAGCTTGGGAATGCCATGCAATCAGCATGGCGTCTCCCACCCTCGACCATCAGATGCTTGCAGCTGGCAAGGCTTTGCATAGTCATGCTTGCTGCGGCAGCTCGAATCTATGTAGAAGAAACCTATAGAACCGACTTGTCGACCATGGTAGTATGAATGTACATATATACGTATCAATAATGACAATAATATACAGAACCGCAGCACTCTTTGCTCTCATCCATTGCAGCACTTCAAGCTCCTCAACCTTGCGTCTGACCTTGGCACAGGCGAAGATACTTAGAGACGGCGTACCTCCGCCTAGGTTTAGGGTTCACAGGTTTAGGGTTTACATAAACCCCCAAAAGCAGATAAAATAGTGGCCCAACACCCATAAAGGGCTATTATTCTACATACTTTTGGGGTCCAGGTAGGGCCATTAAGAATCGAATCCCCCAAGAGCTTTGCGGGCGGCCCCGGATCTCGTTTTTTTGACTGCCAGCTGCTAGCAACCCCTTTTTTAACGAGAGGCCCCCAGGAGCTTCGAGATCAGCGCTTCTTGGACTTTAAGGAACTAAAGTTCCCTGTGTGGATGTGATGTTTTGTAATTTGAGGGTTCAACATTCAGGGTTTCGGGTTAAGGGGCTTGAAGCAGTACCCTGTGCTTGATCCCCATCACCTCTGTAAAGGAAAGCAAAAACCAGTCGCGACAATGACACTCCCGAATGCCAAAAAGCTGCAAACACCGAAGCCTCAACCCCCAACTCCCACCCCTATGACACAAAGACCCAAATTCACAACCCCAAGAAATCCCAACCCCCACCCTGTAACTTCCCCCAACACTTATTTCTTGTTCTATCCATTACTTCCTCCTGGGGGACTCTCCTCGCGACAATCGACCCGCCTCTGTAACACAAAAAGCCGTGGTGTCTTTACATGTCAATGTGGCTCCAGCTGCCTACAATTTCACGGTTATGCCCCAGAATCAGGGGTGATCGCGTAATATTTTGGTGGGTTTGGGCAGGCTTTTGGCTCGTTTGTGTGGACTTTGGGTTTCAGTGTCGAGGGGTTGCGGTTGTAGCTAGAATGCTAGAATGAGCTAGAATGCTTTCGGGAAATATTGGATTAGGCTTTAGGCCTTGGGTTTTTCGGACCATCACGGTTGTGGAAGCTTGGAGGACTTTGGGAAGAATATATCAAGTACTGTGCCATGTATCCAGGCCCTTGCTTGGGCCGTTGTAGAAAGTCGCTAGCTCGAACCAAGCTCCAGGTTCAGGATTTCGGGGTTTGAGGGTTTGGAGTTTGAGTGTTTGATGTTCTGCAATTAAGTCCACTGTGGCTTTGACAGGAAGGCCCTTGACCGGAAAATTGCACAGGTTTCGACGAGACATGCATTGAACGATGGATCCTTTACCGGAGCCTCTACAGTGGAACGATAGAGAGTCACGCGACCGTAGTCCAGTTATTCTGAACCCTAAACTCTAAGCCCTAAATCGTTCTAGTTATTCAGCTCCTCGCCTTCTACAAACAAAGGGAACTCCAAGGGCTACGAGGCAGTAAGCAGCAGCGAAGGATTTCCTTGGCCAGGCAGCTTAAACTTGAAGCTCTCAAGCCCCTTTCCCTGTAAGTAAGCAATCCACAAGGCCTGAACCCGAACCTCTGCGGAGCTTGACCGTTAAGATGCGCATTCGTATTCTAGCTTGCCTGTTCGGTGCACTTCAGTTACCTAGACCCCGCAGAGTAGGTAAAAATAATGGCCCAAAACCTATAAAAGGCTATTATTCTACATAATTTTGGGGTCCAGGTAGGCCTGCAATCTCAAAAGTCCATGTTAAGGGCAAAGATCATCTTCTTGCTGCCTCAGGAACAGTCTGCTCGTGCTTCGAACTTTCTGCTCAAGACAGACGTCTTTGGTTTGGGTTTCCGATCTTGGGGTTCAGGGTGTTTAGAGCGTAGGATTAGGATCTGAGGTGTTGGGGTCACTTAACATCTCTTCACATCCCAGATGTAGCAGCCACACAGAAAGTCTCAGCCAAACTTCCTGTCTTTTTCAACCTCTGCACCTCTCGAGGCAATCTGCCTCACCTTTTAGCTGTATATCGAGGGACTTGCCCCACACCAATCGCAGAAAATTCGGCAGTTTAGGTCTTATTCAGCTAAGACTACAAAATGAGTTTTACCCATTCATGTCTTTGCGAGGGTGAGATCAGGATTCTCACAATCTTGGCACGAGCACGGTAGCAGCTTCGTTTGCTGATGCCAGCGTCAAGAACACGTGCACTGCGGCAATTTCGAAGGACGACGCGATGGTAACATGGCGTGCGCCAATCGCCGTCGGCCGGGATGCCGCCGAATTCCGCTGGACGGCTACCGTGCCCTGGCCGGCCTGATTATTACCTGGACCCCAAAAGTATTCAAAATAATAGACTTTTATGGGAATTGGGCCATTATTTTACCTACTTTGGGGTGTTTAGGTATTAGCAGTAGAAGCATGCCTTTCGGAAAGTGTCTACCGATCACTTTCTAGGGATTTTATATGGGGTCGGGTTACAAGTGCACCCAATGCTGCTTCTGCGTACTTAGGCGGAATTGAACTTGGACCTGTGTGACGACTGTTGGAAACCATCAACCTCAAATGTGCTGAGCCAACACTGTCGCGCCGCTTTGTGAAAAGTACGTTTGAACCACGCACAAAGATAGCATCACTGAGCCTACGCAGCCAGTACGGTGTGCACAGCTTTATCCAGAGACTCCGAGCATCCTTCTGGCTCGGGTATGTTTATTTAATGGTGGGACGGGATGGGGGGCCCGTCCATTCTCGCTACAACTGGAGGACTTCATCCACATCAGACAGCCAAAAGACCCGATGCAGTTTCTCGAATTCTTGCCTTGAGGCGAGGCTAGAATACCAAATCATCTTTCATGGTGCAGCTTTCGGGACAAACCTGATAGGAAGACCTAGCTGGTTGAGCTACAGAAACTGAATCTAATCCAAGAGCGCTTGGAACGTTTCGGAAGAAGCACCAAGCAACGGCTTCTGCAAATATAAAGATGACTTTCGGGTTTATGTGATTGGGGTTTGATCCCTAGGGCTGTGGGGCTGAAGCCATGCAGCCCGAAAGCAGTAAGCCGCAAGCCTAGTCCAACAAATGACGTGCCTGAAAGCCTTAAAGTAAAAGCCAGAAAGTTGGAATATGGTTATCCTAAACCCTTTATGGTAAATTATAAGGTATCCTACCCTAAAATATTCCAACTTTCTGGAGTTCCCTTTAATTTTCGACCAGTTTCAGGTTCGATTTTCATGTTTAGGGTTGTTACCGAACAGGTCCCAGACGGCAGCTTCGACAGTTCCGAAGGCATCCCGATTCTGATTCTTCATCCTTGCCTTACAATTCTAACAGCCTAGAAGGGACACAAAAAAAGACGCCCGAGCCTTTGCGGATTAAGTTTGGGATGGAGGGTACTACGGCTTGCTCCGGCCTTTCATAGAAGTAGTAGAGTCTTCGATCCTGAAGGAGAAATACTACCCAAGTCACCAGGTTCCTGCACCATAACCGGGCTGATCAATGCACGGTTTCGCTAACGGGTTCTTCGAAAGGGCTCCCGAAGCGCCGCTGGACGGCTGAGGCTTATTCACAGGTAAACATATGCCGACAGTATAGCAAAGCAGGACCCTACTCTAAAGGCTTTTAGGTGGGTTTCGGGGTTTGGGTGGATTTAGGCGTTTAGGGGCTTTAGGGTGTTTAGGATTCAGGGTTTAGGTCATGGCAGTGATCCTAAAAACCACGGGATGCTTAGTTGAGGACTTTCGAGCCGCTGGGCACCAACCACCAGGTTTGGCACTTGTTTGTCCAAATCCTTGGTCTGTAGGTTTTGAAGAGGTGAGGGCTGGTATATGTGTACAATATATATATATATATATATATATATATATACATGCATACATACACGCACATAAATATGTGTGTGCATAAATGAATAATTAAATAAACAAATATATATATATATATATATATATATATATGCACAGAGACAGAAGCCCACAGCCTAAGCCCGGAACCCTTTTTCTGCATAATCTGCCCTTGTCAGGATCTCACACCGTTGAACCCACTCCCCAATCGTAGTTAGTTTCTGTGAGTTCAGTACTTCGCTGTCGAAATCTATTCCTGGCAGCAGAGTAGGCTGGCACACTAGAACTTGGTCGTACAACCCCTTAACTCCCTTACCACATAGACATGCCATTCCCGTATGTACAGGAACCGATCGAGAATCGAGGGTGTCCTCGATGCGAACGCGCTGGGTCCAGGCCGTGCTAGGCCGGTCAAGATCCAAACACAAATAGCATGTTGGCGCGGTTACGGATCAGAATAGCAGCTGTGCTTTTGTGCGACAGATCAGGTAGACTTTGATTTCCCCTACCTGTCAGTGCTGGTGTTAGTTCTGCTCGTAGAATTTCTGACGGAGGTAACTTGCAGTATCCATATACCTTAAACTACCATAACCTACTTTATTGTAGGTTCTAATTACAAGCCCTAATATGGAAATTATAGGGACCCTACAAAATAGTAGGTTTTGGTAGTTCAAGGTATAGGCCAAGCTATCTGGAGCCGTCTGACTGAGGGTCGTTGAAGGGATCCTAGTTTCAAAGGATTGTTCTTCATGAGCAAAGCTGGTGATACCCTGGAAGGGATCACTATTTGGTATCCGGGTTTCTGTCCCGGTGCCGATGCCTATGCCTACTACAAAGACCCCGTAGCGAACCTCAGAACTCAACGCCGGCTTTCAAGATACCCAGTCCCACTATTGAAGTGCACATTACTGCCAGTGTCAGTGAACCCTGAACCCTGTAAAGCTCTACGCCCTGAAATTTGTCGAGGTGCCATCGGCCATACTTAGAGTGGAGTCCGAGCCCGCCGTCATGTATTTCGATATGGGATCATGAGTCTTAGTAGCCCAAGAAAGCCTTCATAGACTTCGGTGACAAGTCGGTAGAAGAGGCCCAGCGGCTCATTTCCCAGAGCCCTAAGCCCAAGCCCCAGAAGCCCTGCAGACCGCCAACAAAAACTGACAGAAGCCTCCGACCAGAAGCGAAACTTAGATCAACCCTGAACGGAACCCTGAGGCCTATACAACCCCCTCAAAAAAAAAACACCTCCAAGGCCCTTAAAGGCTCCTTCATGGGTTCCTTTTTATAGGGCTCCTTTATTGGTCCCCTTATAGCATCCCCCTTTATGGGTAGTAAGGGCTCCTATAAGGGTCCCCTTTAAAAGGAACCCTTAAGAGGTGCCCACGCAAGCTCGGAGAAGCGGTCAAGCAGCTGGGAGACGAGGATCTTGCATCCGGATCTAGGCCTTTAGAGTTTAGGAATCTGGTTGTTTAGGGCAGGTTTATGGTTTAGGAATCTGGCTGTTTAGGGTTCAGGAAACTAGTTTAGTATAGGGTTTTGCCGTTTAGGGCTGTGGTGTTTTTGGGGTTTAGTGTTTGGTAGAAAACAGGCTTAAGTAACTAGCAATAGTCAGCAAAAGTAATACTAGCGTTCAGGGTTCCTTTTTTGTCTATAAGAGCAAAACAAGTCTGGTAGAATATGTTAGAGTAGTATAGTTCTGAATTTTAGCAAGCCCCTATATCTCCCCACCGAAGCCTGCTCTTCATAAGCTCTGCTAGGTTAAAGCTTCAGGCCTGTTCGGCGCTCGGGCACTATCAGCCTTACAACCGTTTACATGTTTAACTTAGGTCAGCTTGCAGGATCGCAGGAATCAGTGTGTGTGATCTGAGGATGGAGGGTCTTGGGCTTCAAGAGGGTGTCGTTGAATGTAAGTGTTGATGCTTAAGATGTTGGCGTTCTCGAGCTACGATTCTCGAAATTTCAGGAAGCAGGATTTACAATCTTGGCTCCGGAAGGGCGGCATGTGTTTGGGTGTTACGGGGGCTTGCCGGCTTCAGGACGACGGGATTGAGAGTGTTCGGAATCAGGATTTAGGACTCAGGGCGTCATGGCTCTCGGATTACAAGGATTTAGCGCTGATCCCTTGAGGATCGGGGAGTCTCGGTTTGTTGCTCAGGATATTGGGGATATGGACAAGGGCATGTAGGGCTTAGAGGGTCTGGGGAAACTGTCTATTGGGGGCCTTGGGGGCCTCGAATCTCTGAGGCTCTCATCGCAAACAATAGCCGGAAGAAGCAACGGTTTAAAAGCTTCGAGAAAATTTATGGACCTGCCCAAACTATACCGGTTGAATGAGCTCGAATGATCTCTCATCAACACCTGGACCCCAAAAGTATGCAAAATAATAGTCTTTTATGGGTATTGGGCCGTTGTTTTACCTACTTTGGGGGGTTTAGGCATTGGTTTTGAGACGGCGGGGACTTTGGAGCGACTGTGCAGTCTAGCTTACAAGGGGCCCCCACCCTGTAATAGTGGTATAATAGGAATATACTAGGGCCCTACCATAATCCTTATAGTGACTATTACACGGTGGGGGCAGCTTCTAAAGTCTAGCCGAATTGGCCCGGAACCCCCTGGCGAGTTTTCTTCAAGGACGGCCACAACGGCCTCCGTTCAGCCCAGCTCCGCTATGTCTTCCATAGGCCGGGTCCATCACTCGGAGAGGGAGGGTTAGGGGTTTGGGCTTTTGTGTGAGGGGTTTAGGGTTTAGGCCCGTTAGGGTTTGGGGTTTAAAGTTGAAACTTAAACAGAGTTTATGGAGTTTGCAGTTTGGGGGTTTTGTGTTTGGGGCTTATAAACAAAGTGTAGAGGTTTAGGGCTTATAGGAGTGTTTGACCTCCGAGCTATTATAAACAAAGTGTAGGGGTTTAGAGGCCTATAGGGGTGTTTGACCTCCGTGCTGTTGTCTTTCAACTGCGATTCAGTTTAAGCTTCGGGTGGGAGGCGTTTCCGGGGAGTTCGGCAGTCCTGCAAAGGGACAGCCTGGGACGGGAGTTCAGAACTCTACTTATATGGGAGTTTCCGAAAATTAGGGGTACCTTATTTAGGGGTTCTCATAACTAGGATCCTACTATTTAGGGTACTATACTGGGGACGGTCCCCTATTTTCGGAAACTCCCATATGTATACCTGTACGTTTTTCCTAAGATTATCCACGAATCTTTGGCGAAACTCCTTGATCAACTGCAGCTTGGATATATACCTATAGTCTCCATTGTAGTTCCTTTTTTGGTTAATCAAAATCTCTATTATAGGATCCTAACCATAGAACTGGATAACCAAAAAATGGAACTACAATGGAGACTATAGGTAGCACCGGGCAGACCCGGGCTGGGAAAGACGGCCGGTTAGTGAAGGCCACAGCAAGCCATCACGACAGGATGAGAATGTGTCGTTTGTCGATCACTTGCACGGACACATTCTATCAATGAAATGTGTCGGTTATCGCTCTGCGGAGTGTATTGCTTGCCGCTGGTGGCAAGTCTAGTGTTTTGGAAAGCAGCCCTATATTTCGGACATGAATATGCCGTTGATGCTGCACTCGTGTTTGCAAATTTCTTCGCAGCTGCTTGGTGCAAACCACTGGAGAGCACAAGAATGGTTTTCACGACTGCAACCCCAGCGAACAGGGAGACGAATCTCAAGAAATCCAACAGCATCTCGAGCATGTGTTGTGGGGTGATAGTCACCCTACCACGTGGAGGCAGTGTGATCAATGCCCAGATTTATCTGTGGTCGTCGTCCTCGCCGCTCTGTGTCTCTCTCTCTCTGTCTCTCTCTCTCGTAGTCTCCGTGTCAGCATAAGTTTCCAAAGCAAGGCCAGACCCATCCGAAACCCCAAAACCCAAGGATCCACCTGCATCCTCTCAAAACATTGCCTGCATCCAGGACGTGCGTGCCTGCCCGGTAGCTTGGATGCAGGTCAGCTTCGTTTGGGAGCTTGGACGCGCTGTTTCTGAAAGCCACTAGTTTCTACAAACCCTAGCACGGACAGTTTATGGAGTCTACTGAATCTACTGATCTAGCATTTGCTGGAATTTGGAAGCACGGCTGCTGCATTTGGCTCTTTGCAAGTGGCATTGCTCGGGCAAGTTCGGCCTGAGCCGGCGCTGAAAGGACTTGTCGGGATTTAGTGCTTCTGCGCACTCCATTGCAAGGCTAGTGCGGCATTTGAGGTGAGTCTGTGCAATGCTGCGTGGTTTGCTGCGCTCTGCTTGGGCGCAGCATCGTGTGGGGCTTGAGCTCGAGCTGCACATGCCAGTTTCCAATGTTGAACGTGCTGCCAAAAGGCTTGCGAAACGAAGTGGCCTGTACCTTGCGAAGCGCTGCAATGGAGACCGGAGAAAGGTTTACAGGCCAGACGGAGGCATTAGCCATTACATTGATCGTGAAGACAAGGTGTGCACGCGATACTGGGTCGTGCAGCGCGATTCGAGTCTGGATGCTTTCCAAGACATGGAGTCATTGGAGCTTTCCTCACGCGCGAAGGCTTTTCAGGATCTGGAAGGCGATATTGAAGCCATCAGCGATGCTCTGTGCGACCTGGATGCCAGAATTACGAAGTCCTGCGGGTTCCATGTTCACATGGACATGACACAGCTGTCCAAGGAAAAAATGAAACATGTGACTCTCGTGAATTTTGCGCGACTGTGGGTTCGTCTTGAGCCGCTGCTACTTGCAGTTGTTCCTCCATCACGCCGGGACAATCGTTACTGCGAGCAGGTTGCACCTCTTCTTCGCGGAAAGGATCTTGGGCGGCTATGGTACGGTCATGAGTATCTCATGGCAAGGGATGTTAAAGAGTTGCTCAACCCAGGGGGCAAGTATCACACGGTTAACTTTCCAGACGAAGACCGCCCATATCACACCATAGAAGTGCGGCTTCATAGTGGAACTGTCGAAGCCTGGAAGATCAAACGCTGGGTGAAGCTTTGTTTGCAGTTGTTGGAGGTATGCAAAGCTTCCTGGGACGACAACATGCGGCATCTCGTTCGCAGAGGCTGCGTGCTGCATCTGCTGAATCAAGTTGTTGACGAGGAAGTTCGTGCACACATAATTCGACGTGCTTTCCACTTCATGCACATGTATCCAGATTCGCAGCTTCCTGATACTGTCCCTTGGCTGGAAGGGGCCGCACAACATGGATATCCAAAGGGTGGGAAGTGGCAGGAGTACGACTGCACCGGTTGTGGCGAGAGGTTCCCTTCGGACATCCCGCTGAGCGAAGCCACAGCTTTGTGCTGGTCTTGTTTGCACAAATCGGATGGCAGCGTGGAGCAACCGTCCCCAGAAATCACCCAGAAACCGAAGCAAGGTTGGCCTTTGAATTTGTGCGGATCCTGTGGCAAGATCTTTCCTTCGAAGCGGCTGTATGTTGGAAGACGGCTGCCAACCTGCCGGACATGCTCGTGACCGGGACGCCATGCCATGATATCCTGCTCCTGACATGCCGGGAGTTGCGAATGCATTGTTGCATTTACCTGCTTAATCATGAGCTCATGGGCATCCAGAGATCGGGAAAGCGGATTCCAGAGGTGAACAACCGGAGCTTGCTTTTCAGGCGCCGAAGCCGCAGCTTGCGAATGAAGTCCCCAAACATGATATGTAATGTGTATGTATGTATGTATGTATGTATGTATGTATGTATATATGTATGTATGTACAATTCACACCCCATTTCCAGCAGTTATGGCAGTTATGGTCGACAACAATCGTCCCTGTATTGACATGCTTGAGTTTGAGGTCTTCTGCATACACTGTATGCACGTTCTCGTTTCCCATCAGCCGAGGGTTATAACGTCAGGCCACCCGCGACGTTGGAAGTTCCAAGCTGAAAGCCATACTCTATGCCAGAAGCCCCAAGACATCAAGACCGAAGGTTTCCTTCAGCAGTCACCACAGATCTCATATGGAAGCGAAGCTGCCATATCCTGCTGTGGCCTTTTGCCGTCGTCCTTGAACCCGGCACCATAAGTCCAAAACATGATCAAACCTGAGACCCAAGGCTATGGCACGAGCCGCCGGGCTGTCTCCTTTGAGCCGAAAGGACGTCGGAGACAAGGCCTTCTCTCGTCATACTCGGCTTGAGATAAGGGTGCAAGAGAGCCTAGACTCCTAGACCCCCCAACTACCCTCTAAACCCTAAACCCTAAACCCTATAAACCCTATAAACCCTATAAACCCTATAAACCCTAAACCCCTATAACCCCAAAGACCGACTCCATTAAAGGGCCATTTTTGGGGGGGTCCTGGAGGAGGCTTCAGTTTTGGATCCTGGGCATGTTCGTGTGCAATCCCTCTACGTGCAGTCAAGGTTCTTTTTTGTTCCTGAACTTAGTCTAAGGGTCCATGTACCTACATAGTATATAATACATTGGCCTGAAAGTAGTCCCTATATAGGTACACTGGGGCCAAAGTATATACTATTTGGGTACATGGACCCTTAGGGTTAGTCTGTAACAGCCTGCCGAACCCTACGCAGATGGCGGGCCTCGGGGATGGAGTTCTGATCAGGCTTTCCGGGGGTTGAGACGTGGAGACTCTTGCATTAAGGTTTCCTGACAGCTTTCAATTCCTGGTGGCCTCCGGGGTAGATGTCTGCTTTGCGAGTTTGAAGGGCCTTTCGTATTTTGCTGGCTTCGGTCAAGCAGTACCCTGAAAGGTGCAGGTTCGGCGGTTCCTGTGGTGTGTGCGGGGGGGCCTAGAAGCTACCAAAGTCGTTGAAACCTCCAAGTACCTGCTATGTATCTGCTCGGATCCATCACCTTCTTTGGCAAAGTTGGGCCAAATAATACTTGGGCCGTAGAGACACCGTTTCTTAGCACCCTAACCTGAACATCGGTGTTTAGATCTGTGGAAGTTGTTCCTCACTAAGAAGATGTATCAGAGTGCTACACTAGGATGCCCAGTAGTACCCTTATTCCCTTTTTGTAGTCCTAGGTTCCTTCAAAAGGTACCCAGTACCAAAAAGGGAGGCCTTTTTATTCCTCTGCCATCCTAATCCTGTCCCAGTGCCCGTTCTACGGCGAGTACCAGATTGCGAGCAGGCGTTGTCTGGCAAGCAGTTCAGGGGTCTTCGTTCCGGAGACTTGCACATATATTAGAATCGCACAGTAGAAGTTTATCTTGTATTACAGTTACTCAGGGTCCATGCACCCTTCGGGATATCAGCTCTTGAGCTGGGGGGGAAGCTTTCGGCTTCGTCATGGCCCATGCTCCGGCTGACATATGCTGACGGCCAGTTTCATAGAATATCAAAAGCCAAAGTTGTCGAAAGAAGGACCTCATGAGCGACACCCAATATGGATCCTAAATCGCAGCACTTTTGATCTAAGGACCCCCGAAAAAATCCGTCTGATCAAACCACAGGGCCCCAACATCGACTCGACTTGTCCAGACTGCCACACTGAAGACCTGGCGGATACTGAACTATCCAGATACTACGTCCATTGTAGAGCATGGCAAATTCAAACAGTACGGCCGTGCATGGTCTGTAGTCCCTGTACATTTATGTGTGTGTGGGCGTGCGTGAGCACCTGTATCATCATATTGCTGTTATATGTATAGCCATAGGACTCTTATAACGGACATATCGTGCAGCAAGGGTTAATCCCTTTCGTGCTGCGTTTCTCTGATGAGAGGGTGGCGGAAAGCGTTCGGGAAAAACGCTGTGTATTTGTCCTTCAGCTTGCCCGGATCAAGTCTTGCAAAACAAATGAAGGTCCAATAGATACGGGTCAGGGCTGTGGGGTTGAGGGTGTGGGATTTACGGCTTGCCGCAGGAAACGAGAGGTAAAGTATCCCCTGACCCCACACACACCCCAGAAACTAGACCCTTACTTCCCGACCCCACCAAGACGGGACCACGACCCGCAACACTTGAAGCCCAGATGCTGTGAAACCGAGCAGTATAGTATACGACACTCAATGAACCCCGAACTAACGAAGTCACAAAGCCCTTCCTCTATATATAGACTCTAAAATTGCCACACCGCTTGCGGCATGCCTGTATCCCGGCGGCAGAAGCTGGATCCGCCAGGGATCCTCATTTCCCACGCCTCTTTCTTGACAGGCCACACAGAGCGCCGCTCCTGAGCTGATGACCCTGGGACTGGATAACTCCAATGGAAGGGCTGTTGAAAAACGGCTTGATTAGAACATACTGCTTCAGCTGTTCCTGGTTTCGTCGTCGTTTGCGTCGTCGTCGCTGCTGCTGCTGCTGTTGCTGCTGCTGCTGCTGCTTGCTGCTGCTCCTGTCTGAATTGTCAGTCTTGTGCTTCATATGTTACTGGTCCATGTTGCAGTTGGAGATGACTCTTGTTGCATCTACTATGTAGCTGTTGCTGTTGATGCTGATGTGGATTGTATTGTTGTGATGCTGCTTTTGACTAAGGTGGAGGTCAAGCTATTGTCCTTGTTATCTGTCGCCTTCCATGACAAAAACCATTACCATCATGCGCAAGAGTGGTAAGCATCGTAGTGGTAGCACGATTTAGCATCATCCACCATGGTAGGTGCGGTGGTAGTGGTAAATCTTGAGCCAATCCTCAGGCTCAATCCCTAAATCTTGGTACTTGACCCTTCGCGCAGGACCCTCAACACCCTGCACTCCTCAGTTACAGTTTAACTTCCTGAGGACCGCAGCGGCCTTGGCGACTGCCGAATGGGCCGGAAAGCGGCCGGATGTCGAGCAGAGGCTGGATGGTTGTGGGTAGTGGTGTAATTAGGGTTTAGGATTTGTCAGAGAGCGTCTTTAGATATTCGATTTGAAATTTTAGATTTTGGGGCGTTTCCTTGTTGTGCCTCGGGCTTCTGGGGGTTATTATCTTCAGGGTGCAGGTTTTCTACGGCTCAGGAGTCCACGGAGCTTGGTTTACATTGATTATGTTCTGAAAAAGCGATGGTTCAACGGATCCACTATTGCGAGAACATTCGTAGTTAATCATGATGTCGTTGTTTATACTAGTTATGACTGTATGCAAGCAGCAACAGAAATCTAGCAATTGACCGATGCAGAACTTGGCCTCAAACCATAAAACTTCAGGGTGCCAGGATTTGACTTCAGGCTGGGTTGCATACTGGAGGGTCGAGCCTTTCCAGAGTCGAGCTGCGTCGAGTGCTTTTCTGTTGAATGTTACTTCGCTCAGACCTTTTGAGCGGATTGGCAGTGTTTTAGGGATCATGGTTTAGGGGGTGAGGATTCATGGGCAAGCGCAAGCACTAGTCAATAGCAAACACGTGAGCTCACGTGGAACTCTGATTGTTGCGTTGCTTGTTGGTCTTCCTGCTATCATGGTGGTGCTTCTGAGCATTGTCAGTTTTGCTCAAGTCTTGCAACCTGGTAGCCTGCAGCCCCATAAACTGTACAAGTTGGAACCAGGACCCTAGCCTCGAACCTCAGACCCCAAAGCTCTACGCCCCCATCCCTAAGCCCGATGAACTCAAAAGGAGTCTCCTTTGGTGCCCTGTCTCTCGCCTCTCGCCGTAGGCGTGCCCAGACGGCAGCCGCCCGGCTGGAGAAGCTGGAGGACCGCTCGTCAGCTTCTGCAAATAAGCTCCAAACGTCAGCCCTGCAGGCCCAATAAACCCCAAATCGAGCCGTACCGTGCCGTAGTTGAACTAGGGAGCCCCACAAGCTCAATGAGGTCTCCAATCGAACACCGCGAAGCCTAAGCAGCCTAAGTTTTGCCGGGCTTCTGATTCAACACCCTATACAGACTAAACGGCCTTCTATATAAACTTTCAGCCCATGGATCCAAAATCTTAAGACCCTCATCGTGAACCCTTAACAGCCCTAAAGTCCCTCATCCGATCTGTTTCGTAGCCATAATGCAACCCAAGGCTTCAAGTGCCCAGCCGACTATTTGGCCAGGAAATGCGGCAAGCCAAGCAGAGATACCGAGAGCAGGCGAAGGCATGAAAGGGCGAATGAAAGAAGTTGCTAGGGTTAAGGCAAACGGTTTAAGGATTGGGTTGGGTTCGAGGTTGTTGCTTTAGGCTTTCATGTTATGAGGCCAATAAATATGCAGTACGGAATAGAGAATTCCGGCAATTCTGCGCGCACACCCAGATCTTCCGGGCATAGTTGAGACAAGTTGCGTGATTACAGTATTGAACCTCGTATCCTTGCTGAGGTGACCCTTCGTATATAATGCCTATTTTGGGGCTTGCCGTTTCGGCTTCGTGTTTTCATGCCGGGAGGTGGAGACAGTTGCCTCAATGCAATACATACGACTTCTGAGACTGCTGTTCCAGAGCCAACGGTCGTCAGTTCAACGCACTTCGTTATGTTCCGAGAAATCACGAACACAAGAGCCCTTAGGGATTCGAGCATGTTGTTGCAGCCGAATGCCACCAGCCTCAAGCAGGGCCGACAGAAACTCTATCTAGACCAAGACCATACGCCCTGAATCCCAAACTGCTCTATACCTTGCACTGAGCAGGCTTTGGTTGCCGCAACCTGGCGGCCGGAGCAGCTATGGCGGCATCAGAGCCCTGCGTAGGGTTCAGGGCTTGCAGAAAACTTGAGGCTGTATTGTTACATAAACCGTGCAAAAATAGTTAGAATGTCTACTACAGGGTTAAGTTTTGGGGATACGGTTTAGGTTTTGGTTTTAGCTTCAGGTGGTAAGCTTTGAGATATTGAGGTCCAGATGTTGGTTTAGGGTCCAGGCTTCCGGAGTCTTGTGATGCGAGCTGCTGCAGACCTGGCCGTGCTAAGTTAAACTGGCACATGCCTGGACCCCAAAAGTATGTAGAATAATAGCCTTTTTTATGGGAATTGGGCCATTATCTTACCTACTTGGGAGGTTTAGGTGCTGGTTTATTGCAGAAGTGAGAATCCATCCCTTCTCACTTCGCGGTAGAGAGCAGTCTCTGAGTTAGTGCAAGTGCGAGGTCACGCCTTTTTTGCCGTGGCCCCTTGTATGCTCCTGAGGCCACGTAGTGTGGAAACTGCTGACGTGATTGAGAGGAGGCCGGCAGATCCAGCCTAGACTGATCCCGTTGAGTTTCTATTGAAGCTCGTGGTATACCTATAGTCTCCATTGTAGTTCATTTTCTTGGTCAACCAGAATCTCTATTATAGGGTGCTAACCATAAAATTGGATAACCAAAAAAGGAACTACAATGGAGACTATAGGTAGTCTGAGAGCCTGATGAGTCAAGAGCCTCTTCCAGTTGAAAGCCGACAGTGATTGCTGTGTTGTGAAATCTGAGTCCTGCGCATGACATGCACTGGCTCAGGAACGCATCAGGGATTGGAGAGACGAATCTGAGGTCCTCTCTTAGCTCAGGAGCCGCTGCCATGCCCCGGCAGTCCGAAGCAAAGCTTTTCAAAGACCTGACCGATGTCCCTGCCGGCTGGCCCCTGGCGACCGTCATCGATGCCTTCGCCCACTTGGCTGCTTATCATCCAGAATATTATGCTTATGCAAACCCGGCTCGCGAGGCGCTGAGCACTCGGCTGGTGGAGCTCTGGGCCTCGCAGCCGGCGGAGGCCCAGGCCTGGCTGGAGCGCTTCGGAGAGCTGAACACGGCGACGAGGGCGGAGCGCCTCTGCGAGGCGCTGCTCCGCCACGGGGCGGCCGAGTGCGGGAAGTACTGGGGCGGCTGGCGCTTCTCCGAGGCGGGGCTCCTTCGAGGAGAGCCACAGCATACAGCAGCGGAGCGGGACCGCTTGGCGGCTTTGTACCTGCAGAACTCCTACAGCCGCCCTCGCTGCCGGGAGCTCGCGGAGCGGCTCGTGGCGGCGGAGAGCTCGGAGACGGCGCGGAAGCGGCAGAAGCTCGAGGAGGAGACCTCCGAGCGCCGCCGCCTCGAAGCCGAGCTCCAGCAGTCACAGGAAGAAGGCCGACTGCTACGCAGTCGCCTAGCTGCGGCAGAGGCGGAGGTGTCCAGCAAGGACGCGGAGCTCCGAACTGCGCAGAATGAGAATGCCAAGTGCAAGGAGCAGTGCGAGGAGTTTGCAACTCGCGCCACAGCTGGGGAGGCGGCAGTGACAGAGATGCGGATGGAGCTCGGGCAGTTGCAGGAGGAGCACAGCAAGTGCCAGGAGCGCTGCGAGGAGCTTGCAGAAGCAGTGGTTTGCAAGCATGCAGAGAACGAGGAGCGGGTGGCGTTTGCAGAGCTGCAGCTCACAAAGGCAGTCCTCCAGGGCAGGTGCGAACAACTCCAAAAGCAGCTTGACAAGGCAGAAAGCCACATGAAGTTTGCCTGGGAAGAGAAGGCGACCTACAAGGAGCGTTGTCGCCAGCTGGAGCACCAGCTTTTGGAGCTGAAGCAGACCCATTCTGCACTCTTGAGCGGCGGGCTCTCTGATCCCAACATCGCCTCCCAACACCTCGGTTGCAGTTACACAGCTTCCAGCGGCCAGGAGCCGAATTTCGCCGAAGAGTTGGGATACACTCTTGTGGACGTTGCATCCTCTTCCACCTTCAGCCCCACCACATGGTTCGCGGCGAAGCCCGACTGCTTCATGCCAGATGCCGTCTTCAAGACCCGCGGCTCTGGCATCGACTTCTGGCTCATGGGCCGGGACCTGCGGAAAGGATCGCGAGTGGTAGCTGGAGATGACAAGACCATCTTGGAGGTCTGCTATGCTCCGGAGCTTCGCAAAGTCAAGGAAATCGTCCGCTTGCAGGCTGGGGCTGCGATGCTGCAGGTCACGCCAGAGCATCTGGTAGAAGTTCCAGAAAGCAGCCCGAAGGATGGAGAGGGTGAAGGCTGCAGCCACTACGTCGAAGCTGGAAGCCTGAAGGAAGGTATGTTCGTCATGTTGGATTCGGGAGAGCCCGAAGCTCTCACGAACGTTGAGTCAGAATGTGGCGACTTTGAGGTGCTGAAGCTCACCTTCAAACCCAATCTCTCCGTGAAAGTCTTCTCCTGCCCACCCTGCATCCTCAGCAGCGGTGCCAGCATGAAGCCGACTCGCCGCGGGAAGATGTGCGAGCGGCTGCGCAGCGGCCCGTCAGCCACCGAGGAGACAGATGATGGAAGAGCTTCCATGCCCAACACGGCCGGGACATCGACTGAGATTCTCCTGAGGGCCCGCTGATCGCTCGTGAAAGCAGAGCCAGCGAAGCCGCCCACTAATTCACGTGGCTCTCCGGCGATGTTGCCAAGGCGTTGAGTGCACGGCCTTTCCGGCCAGTGACTTGCGTTCCTTGAGTTTTCGCCGGAGTCGCTGGAGTGCAGTGCACGTGGTCCCAGGCTCGGCTCGTTCCCACATGTCAAGTTGCTTACAATGTCAACGTGAAGTCTGATATTATTGTTGCTTGGTGTTGAAGAGTTGATATAGCTGAGCACCGGGGCCGGCAGTGCCGGCACGAAGGCTTTCCTCAATCTTCCCAGGGCACGGCTCACATTTTTGAACCTAACGCCGAAGATCGCCGGCTTACTTTGAAACGATTCCCTGCGAGGTTTGTGCCGCAGAAAAAGGTCAGACCGCAAGCCACTGCAGAATTCCGGCCACGACAGGCTACAGAGAGAATACTCGTAGTGCGCCGATGAAGACATATGAAGCCTGCTTTGGCATGTGCACACGCTCGCAATTGGAAGATTCAGTATTAATCTCTGCAGAAGCTGTTGATGCTTCGTGTGCAGGCGTCGGATAAACTGCCTCGTCTTTCCAGACACGCAGGCGCAGGCAGGGCTACACAACGTCGGGTCTGGATTCAGATGGGGTTGCGATCGACACCACGTAGTACAACCCTGTCCAGAAACTTTTGATGCTTCTCAAACCACGATATGATATGTCTCGAACTATTGCTCCCGAGGCTTTCAGGAATCTTACTGTATTGCCCATGGTGCCATGAATTGAAGGGAGTACAGTAGTTCGAGTTGCAACAGCAGCCTCCCTACTTTCAGTCTCCTCGAAGCCCCCAGGCCATTCCTTCTGCACGCCCATGCTCCAGCTTAAGCTGAAGCTTGAGCTAAACTTAAACTCCTATACTCGAAAGTATAGACGTTCACACCATACGGAAGCTCGAGAAATTACTCACAGCTACTACATTCATTCATCAGTGTTCTCTGCAACTGAAACGCACACATCATGCATGCAGGAGCAGACTGCTGCGACGCTGCTTGTGCAGGGCACAGCTGGAGCAAGGGCCCCGCAGTCAGGTTTTGTGTCGGCTTACAGGCGCTGCCGTAAGAATGCTTCAGCTCAGCCGGTATTGAAGCTTTCATCAAATGATAAATCTGTGATGCTCAGAATCCAATGTTGTGCTAGTTCAACATTAATTAATGAAAAAAGCTCATATTGAGATTGGGAATACTGGGAATCGATTGCAGAGCCTACTATGTAGTTCAGGGCCTTAGGTGGGATGGTTCAGGCCTTTTTCGGGCTCATAAATCATGTTCTGTGGTAACGGCCTGTGTTTAGACCCTCAAAATGGGTTGAGGCTTTGAGGGAGGCCCAGCTGTGGAGCAACCAGGAACGACGGCGGCTCGGTGGCGGCATCGGCACTGGGAGGTTGGCTTCTGCTTTGAGCGCTCGTCGCCGGTGTAGGGATACGAGTGCAAGGTAGAGCTCTGAGCGCGTTTGCAGATTTTGGACTTCAGCATCCTGCTGCTGATCAGCTCTGATGTGGGGCGTCAGGTCTTCAGATTATGGGGCTTTGATTTGTCAGGGGGTCCTTTGCTGCTTTGGGCTGTCAGAGTCGCAGGTCCGTCAAGTGCAAGGGTTCTGGCATTTGAGGTTCGGGCCTCAGTAGGTCCCAGCATCTCTTGTAGATCCACCGTCCTCAAACCCTAAACACAAACCTGAACCCCAGACCCTACACTCAAACCCTAAACCTAAACCCCCAACCCTAAACTCGAAGCCCTAGGCCCGAGACCCTACACCCGTGACGATGCTCACGCCACCCCCATCGGAGGCTCACGCTCCAAGTGAAGCCACAGCGCAACGTTAGCCAGATCACCAAGAGACAGGGTCCGATGAGGATTGCAGGCTTATAGCCTTTCAGCGCTTAGGAGTTTGTAGGGTGTGGCGTTTTGGTTTGTGTTCGTGTCTGAGGTGTATATATAGTTGGAGTTTTTGAATCTTTTGTCCGGGGTGGGAGGGTTGGGTCCTCGGGCGACTGGAGAGACTTCTTTATCTGGATGGATCAGGGGACTTCATAATTCGCACATGTCTGGCAATAGTTTGGGCTATACGCAGCTCTTACATTGAAGTTACCCGACAGCCTACTTACCAAGACCCCTGCATTGGTCCCGAGTGCACCTCGTATGATGAAACTCTGACAGAACTCACCAGCAAAGCCAAGTCTTCACTCCGAAGCGTCTTAAGTCCAACCCTTAGCCCTAAACCAAAGCCCGAAGACCTTCAATGTGCAGCCGTAAGCTCAGATTTCAGAGCCCATACTCAACATCCCAAACACCATGCGCACCAGCCGAAACTGATTGCCACCAGAAAGCCGAAACTCTCCTGAAATCGTCGAAGCAGTACCATGTGTCCTCTGCCATTAAGTAGGCGTGACCTTGTAGGCGAGCGTAATTTCTGTAGAAGTTATCTACAGTATTCGCGGGTTATTTTGAGGAGGGTCATAGCCTCAGCAGAGTTTGGAGGACTGTGTAGTTCAGAACAGGTTCAACTAGCACTACCTGGACCCCAACAGTATGTAGAATAATAGCCTTTGATGGGTGTTGGGCCATTATTTTACCTACTCTGGAGGGCTTAGGTAATTATAAACAAACTTTTGCTACATGTGCGCGTATTTCCGGGGACGAAGAAAAACTCACAACACTCGACCTTCACCGACGTAGTCATCCTCAGATATCCAGACGGAAAGCCACCTCCCCAGGCAGCTTCGCAGAGATGTTCCAGAAGAGTGTGGGTCAGCATCCATACTTCTCCTTCCCATTCAGCTCAGGCGAGTGGAAGTACTAGTAGGTCACGTGGTCGAGATGGAGCTGCGTGCTACCAAGTTCTGTCGTGTTGGGACACGAAGCGGACGTTATGCGTGCAGGATCATAGGTTGATGCAGCCAACGCCACTTGCAGGGCCAAGCAGGGCGAACGAATGCACGGGGTATGAAAGGACTCGCGACAACAGCACATCCGGAAACATCCTTGAGAATGGGATTGGGCAGGGATCAAACCCTATCCCGGAACCAATCTCCTAAGACCACAGGCATACACTGAACTGCCTAAACTGCTGGCCATCTTCACAAGTTCTTGCAGACTCGAACTTGGGCTGCAGCTCCATCATCCTCTTCGGGATCCTTTTCCTTAGCGGGAGGATGTTCGACCACAGGACGATCCTTTCAAGGAGTGCAGGCTCATTGCTGCGATTCAGCACTCCCAAAGCTGCTTCTGAAGCTCTTTTCCTCTGAGTGGCCGCCGGCAACATGGCTGGTGCTGTTACGGCTGCCGTTTGGGGAGTTCGGTCCAGGAGAGAGGTCTGAACGCTTGGTAAAAAACATCCCTTGCAAATAGATCGCCAATGGGTGTTCTACACGGGTTTATAGCGTATTGTAAAACAATACAGGCAAAGTTCCAAGTACATAGATCCCAAATCCGCATTTTACTATAGGGGCCCTTGATATTTGCCAAGTCTATGCTGGGGTTCCTTATAATACTTATAGTGTGATATACCCGAAACTGTTTCCGTTATTTGAAGGCCCCTCCATTACAGAAGCCACATGGATACCCTTATAGAACCTTGTAAAGGAACCCTCGGAACCCTTATGGAAGCCTTTAAAGTAACCCGTTTAAGGCACCCTGACACTCCGGTTTATGCCTGCGGGGTTCCATCCCTGAGCGGCAGTCACAGGCATCCTGGTCGGCTCGGGCTCTGCAATGTCGCTGTTTGGTTTTGGTTCATATTACATACATATATGTTGGTGCATATATAAATCAAAAATATCATGCATACATACATACATACATACATGCTTACGCACATGCGTACATACATACACACACACACACACATATATATATATATATATATATCCATATAAACACACACACACACACACCTGTATATATATATATATATATATATCCGTCTATCTATCTGTCTATCTATCTATCTATATAAATATATTCTCACATGCATAGAGCAACTCTACTTGCAGACAGATAGGTAGATCGATAGATCGGTAGATCGATAGATAGACAGATAGACGATAGCTTGATATAGACGGTTCGGTGCTCAGGGTGTTTGGGGGCTTCTGGTTCAAATCTTTCTCGAGTTGAGGTTTTGAAACTGAGCACCACAAGTGTCACTGAAGGCCTTTTTGGAGTTGCAGCATTCGCTCGTAAATCCTCCAACCACAGTATCGATCAATAAGCCGGGAAAGTAAATGCTGGGTACCAAAGGCTGTGGGTAGTATCGTCATTATGATCGAGCTAACTAGGTAAAAGCAGAATACTATCCGGGTGTGGGGGGCAAGACGTGCATTCCGATACTGCAGACCTTGGGCCAAAAGGCGATCGGCGCAGAGGCTGATTCCCCAAGCAGGTTTAGGGATACACATACGTATATATATATATATATATGTTACACACGGATAGCCTAGAGGACTGACGGGTGTCATACGAGGGTCAGAAGTGAAGCTTAAGGCTTAAGATTCAGCATCACTGTTTTGAGGCATTTAGTTTCGCGAAATGTTTTCTGGCAACGAGTTTCAGGGGTAGGTGTGTGCAATGACCCGGACTTAACCTGAGACGAGCAGTAGCAGAAGTCGATCTTTCCTACAATCAACTACGCATGCATCTCGGTGCGAACTCGAGTTGGAAGTTACGTACTGTTCCCACTACGCTCTTTGGGGTCAGCGTGCGCCAGGGAAATTCAGGATGTGTTCCTCTTTTCAGGCGGCCACTGTGTGTGGGTAGCCGCGAAAGCAGGTACTAAGGGTACTAGATAGGAGATGATGAGCCCCGAGCCGAGCATGTCAAACTCCGAAAGACTTGATACACCCTGAAGCCGTAAAGTCCCAAACTAAAGTGTTACATAGACCCTGAATAAACCACTAGAGCCCTGTAGAACATGAGTCGGATTTGATGCTTCGTTGATGTCTTAACCCTAAAGCCTAAACCCTAAACCCCTAAACCCTGAACACTTAAAGCCCCTACACCTTGTCGGCTTGCTTTCTGGCTGCCAGCCTCCGTCGAAGCTTCTGAGCCGAGCTGGAGTTGCATAAACAGCAGCTCGGGTGGTATAGGATTTTATGGCACGCTGCAGGGCTCTACATGGCATGTAGGTTTTTGTTCTACAGAGTTCTGTATCTTGAAGTGTTGTTCTACATGGTTTTAGGCTTAGGAAAAGAATGGAGGGCAAGCTTTGAATCGCAAGGATGAAACACAAGGTTCTGGCAGTTCACATTCAGGCTTTATGTAACCTGCTTTTACCGGCTATGCTTGTGGATATTCATAGCTGCAGCCTCTATATGCTGATGACTATCAGTCTGGGAGCAGGCTTGGAAATGAGTTCTGAAGGAAAATACCAGGTTTTTCCTGATCCGGGCCATGCCGGTGGGAATATGAATGTGTTGATGCCGCTGGTTTCTGAAGTGTAGATGGTTCGTTTCAATGCTCGTGTCCAGCGCGTGGTGTGTGAGCAAAGTGTCGGTGGTTTTGTTGTCTGGGGTTTGGGGGTATAGGGCTCAGGTTCGCCAAGCCACTTCATCCCGAAACCCTTGCATAGTCCGGCTGCTGCGGCAACTTTGCCGTCGAAGAAGCTGCTGTAATCCTCGGGGTCCATGCAGAAGCTCTGTCCCTAAAAACAGGGAGGCGGATGCATGACTTTGCCATTGCACTGATGGGCTCGACAGTCGAACCCGACACAACCCCAACAGGCTGATGCCCAACCCCTACTTAGCTTTGAACGGTCGCATGCAGATTCGCAGCCCTCCCGTGGAGCCCGGTGACTCTCCGACACTACAGGGTGTCCGGGGTGTTTGTAGAATCAGGAGCCACAACGGCCTGCTGCCGCTTTTCAGCGAAAGGCGCTCCTGTGGCAAAACAGAATCGGTAGCATGCAAGAATCCCTCAACAGTAGACCTTGGTATACGTGCGAAGGAAGGGCAACCCTGATTTTGGTGTGCCCTGCATCGGGCTCAGGGTTTATAGCACGCAAGTCTTCCCGCCTTTCGTAGGATGTGTGATCTCGATGTGCGCACATCCTTGCTTTATGTTGGTGGTTGGGGCGACACCTTGAATCCCAATATCCGAATTTTGCTCAAGAGCCCCCAACACGGGCCTTGTCACAGATTTCAGTCAATCAACACGTGAGCTCTTAAAGTCCCAACCCCGAAGCCTTTTTGAGCCCTACTCCTCAAGTTTCCATACCCTCAACCCTAGCAGAGGTGCCGAAAGAACTAGAATATGGCTCTAGGGGTACGATGTATGGAGTTTAAAGGAATAAGATTGGCAAGTTTGGAAGAGCTAACATCGCTCCAGCCTCGTCTAAGACCTAGGACCTTAAATCGCTCCCAAACCCTACACCGGGAGCCCCCACACAGCGAAAGAGCCTAGACCTAAATTCCTAAGGCCTGAGTACCCAAAACCTCAAAACCCATAACCTACGAGCCCTCACCCAACCGTACCAAGGGTTGCATGCAATGCCGCTTCAAGCCGGCTGCAGGGAAGCATGCTGCAAAGCAGGCCATGGGTTCAGAGTTGAGATGTGCAGGGTCGTCGCGTTCCTTTTAAGGGATCTGTAGGGGTTCCATAGGGGTTCTTTTTAAATTTTTAAGGTTTAGGGTTCAGAGTTGAGATGTGCAGGGTCGTCGCGTTCCTTTTAAGGGATCTGTAGGGGTTCCATAGGGGTTCTTTTTAAATTTTTAAGGTTTATGGGGTGACCCAGTCCCGAACACATAGTACCTTTTTGTTGGTGACTTCAGTTCCTTAAGGTGGAAAATCTAAACGCCGCAGAGGCTATCGAGGAAGAGGTACTGCCGGCGTAACCAATTGATCTTAAACAAAGGCCGGGATATCATGACACTACAGCAACAGATGCGACTGCCTCTTTCACTGTACCTTCGTTTTTCTAGGTAGGGCACCTAGAGTAGAGGCTTAGTGTGTTGAGGGTATATGTCCCTGCTACTCGTCGGTTTCAATTAATTAAAGGTGGGACCGAAAGAAGCAGACCTGTCTTGTGTGGATTATTTGCCTCCAAGTCTTCAGTGCTTGTGTTGGAGTAAGGCTGCGGAGTCCTCTTTATGAGCCGAAGCGGCAGGATGCATACATTCTGGGGTGTCGGTCGCCACGCGGTCTAGGCCGGTGGTGACAGGTATGCATGTATATATCAGACATATCATATATCATAATTAGACTACGGCTTGGGGTGTGGAAGCTGGAATTCCCACAAACCATTGCAAAGTGAAGCAGTGGGGCGTCAACACAGCCCCGTAGCTCTAACTCCCGAGTTGAAGCCACAAAACCCCAACCTCAAACCCCAGGCGCTACAGCCTAAAACCCAGCCTCTAGCCCTATTACCCCAAACCGCAACCGTAAACCCTATACTATAAAGGCCCTAATAATTAGAATGGGTTTTGAGGTATATCATACTATATATAAAAAATTAGGAAGCCCCAGAATAGTATTGGTAATTATGTAGGCCCTACCCCAAAAGTAGGTAAAATAATGGCCCAAAACCCATAGTGGGCTATTATTCCACATACTTCGGGGGTCCAGGTACTACAGTTATAGTGCAGTGGGCCCAGTAAGCCCTAAACCTTAAACCCTAAATAGCTACTAATACTATGATGGGGGTCCTTACTAACTGTAGTGGCCCAGTAACCCTAGGCCCTACCCTTATAGATCCCTTATAGAAACCCTTAACAGGCCCCTTTAAAGGAACTCTAGAATTTAGGCCCATTTAGGCCCTAGATTGAGCCCAAATCTCCGGAGCTAATAATTAGAATAGTCCTTATAGTCCCCTTTAAAGGAACCCTTGTAGTAGTCCTTTTAGAACCCTTTGATCCCAACTCTCCGGAGCTTCCTGGCCACGAGAGTTGAGAGGCTCGCCTGGGCCCTCGGGGAGGATTCCAAAGACTCGGAGGAGGCAAACCCGCAGCGACTCTGAAGGATTTTTATGGGGGCCTCAATAACTAGACTTTGAAGGTTTTTGTTTTGTTTAATGAGGGCCTCAATAATTGGAATATGGTTTTGGGGCCTTTTAATACTATTTGTTATAATAAGGAACCCCGAATAGGATAGGTAATGATTTAGGCCCCTATTTGTTATGGTGCTTTGCAGATATCTTTACTATTCCAAAGTATTCGGACGTCATACTCCTTGTAGCAAAGTATTCCGAAGTCATACTCCTCTGCGCCTGCAAATCCTAACCTTTCATACCTATAGTCTCCATTGCAGCCCCTTTTTTTTCGGTTAACCAAAAACTCTATTATAGGATCCTAACCATAAAACTGATTAACCAAAAGAAGGAACTACACTGGAGACTATAGGTAAAGTGCGACCCTGAACTCCGAAGTTGCCCTCCCTCCTGAATGCGGCCTGAGGCGAAGCTCAGGGCGCCGTTGAATGAATAAGACAACCCCGGAGACGAGACGAATCCGAACCAACACCGCCTGCAGGTTTAGGGTTTAGGGTTTTCGCCTTCTTCGAGCCTTGTATTTCCACGATTTGGGACCATAAGCCATGAGGACCATTAGACATAAGGCCTCTATGAAGGGATACTTGAGGGGTGCTGGTAATTACAGCCTTTGTGGAGGTCTCGGAGTCTCCCTGGCGCGAAGGAGCCCGCTATGAGGCGTCGAGATGACTCTGTAGGGAGGGTTGCGTGTGGCAGTTTAGCCTATTTAGGCTGCACTGTAGTTCCTTTCTAGGATTGCTTTACAGGACCCTAAATATCAACCACAAAAAAGAACTACCATGGAGCCTATGGGTATAGGGTATGTCAGGATTTTGTTCGGGATCTGGCCCGCGGCGCTTTAGCGTGTCCCGCTTACTCATAGTTCGTGATCTTGAAGCCGAATCGAGGCTGCCTAAACCTCCCAAAGTAGGTAAAATAATGGCCCGATACCCATAAAAGGCTATTTTTTCCACATACTTTTGGGGTCCTGGTATGCACTATGCACGTCTGGCTTGAGGGATGCGAGACATCGGTCGACTCTCAGAATCCGTGACCCTTATCCGTCCTCAGCCCAAACCTTGAAGATCAGACTCCCACGCCCCGAATCCTAGGTCGAACATAGGGACCTAAACAATTACCTATACTGTTTTTGGGGGTTCCTTGTTGTAGTCATGGTATAATATACACCTCCCCAACAACAACAAAAAAAAACACATCTATTCTAATTATTAATGCCCCTACATTGCGCCGGAGCCCTGGACCCAAACCCGCTACACTTTGGGCAATATGGACGCGGAAACTTTGCCTTAGATCTTCTGAATGTCTCCGGACCTGCAATCTGGAAGAGCGCGCAGTAGAAGCCAGAAGGTTGGAGTATCCTGATACCCATAAGTTGAAACCGTGGGAATCCACGCGCCAATCAACCAAAATCCATGTTCCAACTTTCTGGGGTTCCCCACATAAGTAAGACCTCGGATCGTCTGTGATTGCAGCTTTATTTAATGCAGGTCATGCGCCGAATCCTGCTATCACGACGGCACGACGAGCCAGAAGAGGCATTTGGCACGTCATCTAAGTTGCTTTTAGGTGTATTTCGCCTCGGATCTCGGAGTTGCTCTGAGTATAGCCCTAAGGGTCCATGTACCCAAATAGTATATACTCTGGCCCCAACGTACCTATATAGGGACTACTTTAGGGCCAATGTATATACTATTTAGGCACATGGACCCTTAGGGTAGTGTAAGGGCCTTAATAAGTAGAATAGGGTTTCGGGCCCCATTACAGTATAATGAGTATAATGATAAGAAAAAACCTTCCATTGGAGGTAGCGTATCGAAGAAAGCTGTGTCATGTTGTGTGCTGCAGCCAGTGTAATTGAAGCGTTAGGGCTCCGAGCACTTGCCTCCCTTGAGGGTCTTGGGATCCAGGGCTTAGTATTAGAATCTTTCGGCAGGTGGAACCATCTGCCGCCGGATAGTATACGGGGTACAAACCACTATCCCCTGGTGGTGCCTGTAAATGTATACTGCAAATTACCCAAAGGGTGATCTCTTGAAGTAAATGCCACCTTTACATACTGAGGGACTCCCTGGAGAAGCCATCCCATGCTTGGTACCACATGCGAGGACCAGACTGAGACCCGAACTCTGGCATTCCTTTGAAATTCTGCAAATCTCAGAAGTGTGTAGGGCTTATAAGGACCAGGGCCTAAACGGAAGTCCAGGATTTTGGTTGGTGTGTTTCCCCTCATAGAGGCCCTTAGGGGGGTAGGTGGCCTTAATACCCAGAACAAGGACCCAACAAAGCCGATTTGAGGCAGTACTCCCCACCCCCCTCCCTTCTACCCCCCTAAGGGTCTTTATGATCCCAGGTGGTGGGTGAAATCTCGCCCGGCACTTTCGCGTTGGTGGGGGAGCCCGGGCCAGACCGAAGCCGCCAAGGGTCCGCGTTGGTTGGGGATTCAGGGAAATTTAGGGTTTGGGGATTCGGGGTTTAGGGCTTAGGGTATAGAGTAGTGGGTTTTTGTGATTTTAGGGTTTAAGGTTTGGGGTTTAGGGTTCGCTAACGGTTTGGGATAGTCAGGGCTGTTTGGGGGTCTGAGGCCGGACAAGAAGAGGCGAGGTTTCGGACAATGTTCGAAGCATGGCACTGGAACTTACAGAGTCTTTTTGTCAAGAAGCCAGTGTCAAGGCACGCTGAGGGGTGCTCTAAAGTGGGAGTTTGGTGTTCAGGAATCAGGGCAACAAGACACACGGACCGCAGTTGGGAACAGCCACCAGTGCAGAAGCGAGGTGTTGGCGGTTTCAAGCTTCAGCGACGACGATGGGCAGAAGGTGCTGCCAAATCGCGGGTGCTTTATTTTGAAAAGTGGAGCAGCTGATTATGAACCTCCCTAGGCTAAACCGCAGTCCATTGCACGGCGTGAACTCAACCTATGGACTCATGCCTCACAGCAGAATCAACCACTACTATGAAGTAAATGCCCTGAACTTGTTCATGCCTCGTCCATAGGCAAGGATTCAATAGGGACCGGCGCTGCATGTCTACTGCAACAGCAGTACTGTGTTCTTTGCTATTGCCATCTATACATGATTGTCGCGATGTGTATGAACTTCTGTGAATGTTTACAAGCATGCACTCAAGCAACTGACGGCCACCCAACCTCTGCAGTCCAGCTGCGTGAAGTGGCACAGCCGTGCACTGTTGATGCTTGCTGGAGAGGCGACGGTGGCCTACCTGGCGGACACGAGGTCTGGCCTGTTCAGGGATTTTCAGATGTTTGGGGGATAGAACCGGGTAGAAGCATCTTCATGGGTTCGGGGGTTATCTTCATCCGCTAAATTTATACTTTCAATCCAAACCCTAGTATAGACCACTTTGCACCCTGAAGCCTCTTGCTCCCTTCACACCTGCGCGCAACATGCTGAAATAAGAAGCGATAACAAACTGCACCAAACTGACAGTAGCTTAAAACCAAACCAGCTCAAGACAAACCCCACACACACACACAATCAAACCCAAGCAAATCCAAAACAACCAACATCAATCACCAAGTCTTCACCCTAAACCTAAACCCTACACCCTAAACCCTTCAACTCCCTTCAGCCCCGTTCAGCCGACCTCGGTGGCTCGGCGGCTGGGCGCTGATCGCCCGGAGCGAAGGCTTCCGCCCTGCTCTGAGGCGGCCTACAGAGTTCAGCGTTTCTGGAATTTAGGGCTTAGGGTTTAGGGCTTCGGTGTTTCGGGTCTGCCTTTTTTTTGGGGCTTTACGGTTTTGAGTTTTGTTTTAGGGTGTCGTGCTTCGAGGTTAGGTCTTTACTTTGGGTTTGAGGATGTTTGACTTTGCTGAGGGGACCGACATGATGCCGTGGTCTCGAAGGGCTTCCTGATCGGGCTCTTCTGGATGAAGTTTCTGGGATAACGCGCTAAACGACACGTTGCAAACTCCCTGGGTTAAGGGGCTACGTTAGCCCTAAATAACCTACCTCTTTAGGGACTATATAAAGAAATCATATTAGGGGGCCCTAAAAAAGGTAGGTTCCTCAGGGTCCAGGTAGGGTTTAGGGCCCTAGGCCTGGATTATGGAAGTCTCCACCCTAACCCTGACAAACCCCTAAACACTAAACCGAAGCTAAGCTGGACCAAATCCCAGCGGACGCCAATTCAAGTGCAGGCGGGTCCCCGGTCGGGGCAGCTGGGAAGTGGGCGGCTGCTGCTCGGCCAGCTTTTGACAAAATTACGACAAAGAGGTTCAGTGGGCATAGGAAGTGGGTTATGAGTACACGCATGTATTGTACTCTTAGCGAGAAATAGAATAAAGGCGGTTAGGCACAAAAAAAACACGGTAATAATTATCGACGTGCTAAGGCCCAAGATCTTTCCGGCAGAAGGCGAAGCCATGGTCGTGTAGGTATTTGAGAGCTACAACAGGCTACTTCTTTTGCAAGGTCCCGGCAATACCCCTCAAGCTCTATATTCGCGCTTGTACCCAGACCCTACCCAACGGCAAGTCACAGGAGGTGCAGGCTGAACTTAAGCAGGGCTTTTGCCCGCATGTGTGCCAGGGTTGCTTGCTGAAGTTACCAGTGCTTAAGAGAGAGTAGGATAATGGATCCCTGAACTGGTTCCTATTACTTTTTCCTGATCGTAGCCTCCAAATTCCCTCCTCCACTGTCCCCTAAGCACCAGTGGGTATGAAGCCGGGGTAATCTTAAGTCCTAAAGTCTGTGTAGCTCCTAAGCCCTATAACCTCTGGATCAGGCTACCGGGTCAATGGCAACCCTGTGGTTCGCAGCCACGTTGCGCCTTGCCTCCAGTGGGCTATCAGGGACACTGGTGTTTTTGTGTGGGGAGTGGGTGTGGAGTTGTGGCACACGTGTGTGTATCTGTGTGTGCTGTATAGGTGTGTATGTATGTCTATATGTACCTAGAACCTAAACCCTAAACCCCTCCGAGAGATCCTCCCATCGCTCATGGCTGAGGCATTAGAGTCGGAGCCCCTCTGCGAGCTGAAAGGAGCTGCAGAAGAGGCCTTGTGGGTGGGAGTTACTTAGGGAATGTGTTTGGAGGTGATCGTTTGCCCGGCAGGCATTCCCACACGTTCATGGGCGCAGATGCAAGTCCACCTCATCCCAGAACCTCAGAACTGTTGTTTTCTGTGCATCGAGGTTGCCGTGTTGGCTGTTTTTTTTGCGGGATGTCTGAAGCAGGTTTTGGCGGCTCCGATCTGATATCCTAAGATCTTTGACAGCAGCGCATCAAAGGGTCTTCTCTTGAATCTTGAACCCAGTGTTAACATCGGCTTCTCTTCTTTCTGTTCTGAAACGAGCAGGTTCTCCTCCTTGAGTTACGGCTGGCCATCAGTGATGATGAGCCCCGATTGCGTGGGCGAGCGGCTGGACCTGCATTTCTGATTCTTATAACCCGCGAGAGACCGTCATCATTATCGAGATCGTCATCGTTGCCTCCATCTAGGTCATGAAAATGAGCATGGCCCTGGTCAGAATAATCATCAGCAGGACGAGCCGAATGTCCTCAGGCAAACAATTGCTCCTGTTTCCTGCCACCGCCAAATTGCAGCCAGAGGCCGAGGGCCCCAATCATTTGAGGTGCGTACTGACAGCGGCGCGGTCGGCTGGCTGACCCTGGAGCTACCACAGGAAGCTCCGTCACCCAGCCTGCAATCCTGGGGGATGTATGGTCGATCTGCGTCTGAACGTAGGGTCCTTTTCGGGGTTCCCTGCTACAGCAAAGGTTGCAGCTCATCGAGTTCAAGATCTGTACTTGAAAAAGAAGCTCTACGTCAGAGAACACATGGTGGGGGATCGGGAGCTCACTGAGGTCATTTGTGGCATACGGTACTTAACTGTAATAATTAACTCCTACAGATGTTAGCCTACATGACTATAGAACTTTTCTGGCTGCAGCAAATTCATCGAAGGTTGAGGGTTATAGGTTTTAGGACCACAGGCTTCAGGCCGCAAAAGAGAATGTGTCTCTACTTATATTGACACATTCACCCCCCTAAACGACCAACCCGTATCTAACAGCATCATAGATAAAAGGTACTTTCTGCTTCTAAGCTTTACACCCTTTACCTCCTCAGGCTCCTGAAGCCCATGAACTTGCTCCGGAAGGAAGCCATAGTTCGTGCCTTGCACTGGCAAAGATCATCCCAGGATCGCGGGTTTTAGGCTTTGAAAGTCTTAGGCGCTGGAGGTTCCGGGTTCACCGTTTACAACGGTCAGGGTCAGGACTTTGGGGTTTAAAGTGTTGGGATTCGGGTGAGCATCCCTGGTGCATCTGGTGGGGACAAGGCTGGGGGAAAGTGAGGTTTGGAGTTCGAAAGCCCGCGGAAGCTTACGCTGACTTGCGAGCCTGGCTTTTGGGGTGTGTTCATCTTCTTTGTTGTTTCTTACTTTCGGTGGCTGCCGGTCGTGGAGGTTTCAATCGGCAAGGAATAACGAACCTCAGGGAGGAGGCAGTGAAGATACCAGAAACGTCAACTTTGGACGCTAGTATTGCTGTTTCGACCCTATATAATCCCCAATGACAGTCTCCATAATGCTACGGCTTACTTACGACCATGCTTACCTTTGGATAGTAGGGAATGGAAGAATGGTAGTAATGTTAGTTATGATTGTCCCGGTACCCCATTCCTCCATTCCCTACTAAGCCAAGGTAAGAGTGGGCCTCCAAAATGCGCTTTTTTGCCTCGACCCAGGCAGCCTTTGGCCCTTCCCTGTGCCCGTGGCCCTGGACGTGGCCTTTGCCATCGGGGCACGCAGGGAGAAGCGACGACCACCGGCCCCTCGTCCGAAGGTTTGCCTTAAGCTTTTGGGGGGTCTGGGATCTACGTGGGTGGTTGTCAAAATAATGGTCCCTTTTTGGGTCCTTATTATAATACGGCACCCAATATAGGGTCCATGTACCCAAATAGTATATACATTGGCCTTAAAGTAGTACCTATATAGCTCCATTGGGGTCAAAGTATATACTATTTGGGTACATGGACCCTTAAGGTTTTGGGGTCTGGGATCTACGTAGTGTTGTAGGACATTGCAGGAAGCTAAGGCTATCATATAGCAAAGCCTGGCCGGTAGGTAGGGTTTTGGATTGTAGTGGTGATCGTTATGCTGCCCTTAGCCATGCGTGCGGACAGCTTTGTGGAAGTCTTCGCAGTGACGTTTGCAGGTTTGTGTTCTGAACTCAGGGCATGAATAACATGTGAGTAATTGTTGCTTGGCAGCTGCGGGGTCTGATTTCAGGTCTTGGTGCCTTGGCATGTACCTGGACCCCAAAAGTATGTAGAATAATAGCCTTTCAGGGGAATTGGGCCATTACTTTACCTACGTTGGGGGGTTTAGGTAAGGCCTTTTGAGGCTCTCAGTACAAGAAGCATTGCGGGTGCACAGAGTGCGAGCCGGGACCCCAAAGTCTCTGGGAGGCCTTTTAGTGGCTCGGAAGCCCGTGGCTCGATCTCAAACACGGCTTCAGGTGAAGAGCACCACAGTGGCCGTCTACCCTTGGGATATAGGCAAGAGACCCGGGGGCGCGGGGGAATAGTGGGTTGTTGAAGCGTGCGCTTGTCTTATACTCCGGAACGGGGTGTGTATCAGCTTCGGATCACGATTTAGGATTCGGATGTGTTACGGTATTCAGCTTTCCATGCCACACTCATTACCAGGATTTTGGTTGAGGATGTGGCCGCGGGTTCAAGGTTAGGGGAATCCAGCGGTGTAAACTAGATTGTGCCGTCGCGCCCCAAGGCCTTCGTGCTTTAGATCCAGCTCTGACTGTGCGGTCCAACTCCCCCATTGGTTATTCAGCTACCTGGACCCCAAAAGTATGTAGAACAATCGCCCCTTTTGGGTATTGGGCCATTATTTTACCTAATTTGGGGGGGTTTAGATATTCACCCTCACGCTGACGACCTTGAATCGAAACCCTTACTTACTGTAGCCCCAAACCTTAAACCCCTGAACCTTTTACCCGAAACCCTGAATCTAAACCGCCGGCTTGGATCGTCGGTGTACTGACAGGAGGCGTCTACCGGACCCTGGCCAAGCTTCCCATAACGGAGCTGCCGGACGAAACGAATCCGATCGGCTGGACCTTTGGCTGAACGGTTTCGGATTGATCGGGGTGTAGGGCTACTGTACCAAGAAGGACAGAACTGGAGGAGGATGATGGTGTAAGCGAGAGAAACAGCTGGGTATGCATGACCACAACTTTTATGTACGCCACATTCGTGTTAAGATTTATGAGTCCCGCACATGCCTGACCCCTAGAAGGAATCTGTTTACAGTACTGAATACTGCAGCTTTCGCTCTCAGTGCAGAGTTTGACAGGACATATCCCGTAGATTTGCGCAGGGCTGTTCCGTTGCCTGGTCGACATATTACGAGCAAATCCCCTGTCGCCTTTCGTGGCGACGTCATGTTTCTGTTGAATCTGATACATCATGCTGTTCTCAAGAACTTCACATCCATGGTGTCTAATTAGCTCTGGTTTTGAGAACTGTATCAGCAGTAGGCTGAGGGGCATGATCATGACAACATGAAATTGAATCCAGTAGGTTAGTAGGAAATCAGCCGCACGTGTACCTCTTTTGCGGCGACTCCTGGCACTATTCCTGCTCCTGCTCCTTCTCTACAGCTTCGACGGCGACAGCGACAATCGGCAAGCGTTCTACCGCCACCTTACTCTCAATAACAATCGTGAGCATAGCCAGCAACAAGCCGCAAATTATCTTCGCAGCAATTCAGCAACAACAGGCAAATACTGTGACAATAGCTCTTCATATTCTGGGGATGTCGACGAATCATGCTGTAAGACGGAGAAGAACCTATGTGACGCCCCCAGGCTACGAGCAGGGAAGAAGGTGAAAGTGGAGGTGCCATCCAACGGTTTGGGCTATCGTGCTGATGTGCTAGACATGTGGGGTGTAGAGATGTTTCGGCTGTTGCTTGGCGGTCGAAGGGTTTAGTGCTGTGGCCTTTATTAGGGAATCTGGACTCGTCTTAAGATATTTTTCTAATTATTCTGAATAGCAGGAGCACCTGTACTTGTATGGAGAGGGAGCCTTGTTCGAAGCAGAATGTCCTTTTTCGGTCCCCGGTCCTAAGGAATTCTGTTTCTTGTGGGGTAGAGGAGCGCGCAAGTGTGGAGTTTCCACATAGCCTGCATGCATCCTAGCGAGACCTGCCCGAGCAATTCTTGCTGAAGTAGTATTGCCGGCCCATGCTTGCTGAAAGCTTTATCTGGCTGAAAGCTTCGTCTTTGGAAATGTAGTTTATAGTAGCTTACTTAATGTAACTGTTGCTGTAGATGCTGGGCTTTCTTTGTTTATTGGAGAGCGGCACCCTTCCGCTTTTTGCAAAACCTCCGCGTTTGTGGGAGGCCATCGAGCCCGGTGCGCAGGGCCAGCTCAAAATGCGGGTGCAGGCGACATTTGTGAGTTTCCCAAAATTAGGGGTCCTTATTTCGGGGGTCGCATAATAAGGATCCTATTATTTAGGGTTCTGTAGTAGGGTCCCCCATTTTCGGACACTCCCATTTGGGGCTGAAGCTGTAAACGCTAAGCATGTGCAGAAGGTGTCGCATTTCGTGACCCTGCATTCGGCTCCATGGTCATGGCAGAGAGCTCTAGTGGTCCGATATTAGAGTTTCCGAAAATAGGGGACCCTGATATGGTACCCTAAATAGTAGGATCCTTATTATAAGGACCACAAAACAAGGTACCCCCAATTTTCGGAAGCTCCCATATTAGATTTGTTCTCATCGATTGAGTGCAACCCCGGTTGTATGTAGCATTTGATTGGAGCTGTCTGGCACAGGTTCCCAAGCAATGTTGGGTTGTGTCTGGGCAAACTGCAGTTTCTCGAGTCGTCCAGTTCTGTTTACAAGCCGTGAATCCTAGAACCCTCAAGCCAGTGCTTCGCCTAAAGTTGAAGGTATTTTCTTGAAGTTGCGGTTCGGGTTCCGGTGAGAAGAATAGGGTTTTGGCGCCCATTATACTATATAAGAAGGAACCCCTACAAAGTATAGGAAAGATTTTAAGGCCCCTGTATTAGGGATGCGGTGAGAAGTTTCGGAATGTGGAGATCTGTTTCTCGCGGCAGGTGGAAAGTGGCACCCTGGCCACTCGGCTTCACCTTAGTTTAGGGTGCAAGTCTTTGCTAGGATAACGGAAGATATTACCCTAAGGGTCCATGTACCTAAATGGTATATACATTGGCCTTAAAGTAGTCCCTTTCTAGGTACATTGGGCCCAACGTATATACTATTTGGGTACATGGACCCTTAGGGTAAGTTTAGGGTGCAAGCCTTTGCTAGGATAACGGAAGATATTTGTTAATAGCCTGCCGGACTGCCAATATAGACATATCCCTTGCAGGTAGGTACAGATTCACAGGAGGAAGACCCGTGCAAGTGTCGAAGTTCCCAACGAGGCGGGCTTCAGGGGCTGGATAACCACCAGCGTCGCGCCCAAGGACCGGCGTACTCTAAAACCTATGCCCCCTAAACTCCTAAACCCCTAAAGCCCTAAATCCCTCAACCGTAAACCCTTAAGACCCAAAGGACCGGCTTTGTGTCTGGACTCCTACATGAGTGTTGGTTTTCAGGGTTTAGGGTTTAGGGTTCAGAGAACAGTGAGAGGTTATTGGTTTGAACCGTGAACCCTACGTGATAGAGAGCCCAAAGTATCTAGACACTACAGGTATGAGATCCGTATAACTTCAAGGCCCCAGAGCCCCAAAGAGTGACATGGACGTTTCCGAAAATAGGGGATCCTATAGTACCCTGAAAAGTAGGAGCCTTATTACAAGAGCCCCAGAATAAGGTACCCCCAATTTCCGGAAACCTCCACATGGAATCCTTTTTGCAACCGGAGCTCTTCACACATCGCGCCGTGAGGACTGTAGCCTGGACTTGCGTGACCAAACAGAGTTCGAGCCACTTGGCAGTGGATGTACTTGGATTTAGCGGTTTAGGCTTTAGGGTTTAGGGGACTTTCTCTATTTTGGAATCTGCAATCCCCACTTCGCAGCTTAAAGTTTGCGTCCACAGGATTTGTAGGGTTTGGGGCCCATAGGGTTCAGAGTTCAGGCTTGATCCTGCTGCGTATGACTGTATGAGTGTTCTTTCAAAGATTCCTGCGACCTCCTACTCCGAGTCCTGAGTGCTTACCGAACTCCCAACAGTATTGGCGAAGGTTTCGGATGTAGTGCTGACGGCTGAACTAGGTTCTTCCAACTCTTTGCCCCCGAAGCCATGGACTCGCATCTTGGAGTCGCAGGCAAGTGATGGACTACTGGCGCAAGATAGCCGAGATGGGTCCCACAGTCAGCAGTGAGGCGCATGCTGTCTGTACAGTACGGACGAGAGCATTAAAGGGACACACGAAGACAACATCCCTCTTCACCACGCACCTTACGTGTTTATAGTTGCTCGGCATCTAGGGCTCTGGGTCTGTGTGGAGTTGGCAGTTCCGCCACACCTAAGTGTCACCTGTCGTTTCGTGCCGGAGCTCCCCGAATCTGGAATCGGGGACTGGTCGGGTTTGGTACAGACGATGTCAGGACCTGAATCCTGCAACTCAAGCAAGCCATGCCCTAAACATCAGTCTATCGTAAAGTCGAAGCCCCAAGCTGCAGAGTTGCATCTTGCCTGGCACCCTGACCGGCTCAGCCCTCAAGCCACGACAACTGGCTCTGAATTTCCTCTCTGGTCCCCAGGGCTTGATACATGCTCTCCCAAACCTGGGCATGGGGCGCTCGACAGGGTCAAATTTCGTCGTTATGTTATACCATAGGGGCCTAAATAGTTACCTTTACTATTTTGGGGGTTTCCTTGTTATAATTCTGGTATAATCGGCCCCCAAAACCATGTTCTAATTATATTACAGGCTTTTCTAGCGGTTGCGGTTGGGTACTCTGTCGCAGCCGGATCGCGAGTTTAGCAGGCTGGAGCTTGCTACACTGTGCGGCTGCAGAGGCAGGCTGGCCAGGCCATGGGTTCCTGGGCGATAGGGTTTGGGGTTCAGGGTGTAGGGTTTAGGGTTTAGGGTTCAGGGAGTAGGGTTCAGGGCTTAGGCTTCAGGGTTTAGGGCTCAGGGGTTTAGGACTTAGGGTTTAGGGTTTATGGAAGGGTTCGGAAGAGCATAGGAGCCCCTAAGGGTCCATGTACCTAAATGGTATATACATTGGTCTTAAAGTAGTCCCTACATGTGTTGTCCGTACTGTCGTTGATGTTCATCCCGTACAGAGCCAAATCCTGATTTTTTTTTTACCGCATGTGGTCTTGAATAACATTGTTCCGTGGTTGTGGGTTCCAGCCGGCTTTGGACGGTCAAGTTTCCCGGTGTTTCCGAGGCTTTAAGAGCTGAGAGTTCAGCGCCCTGAGCCGTCCAGGTCTTCATGCTCTTGGGTGCAGGGCTTCCCTCAGACATCAGCCCCTCCAAATCGGATCTGGCGATGTCCATGTTTAGGAGCTTTAGGTGTTCATGTCCCCCGAAATAATTAAACTAGGCTTTTTTGGGGCCCACTATACTATAGCTATCG